CTCTAACTGCTTATAACAAGGCGATCAGAGCATCTAAACGTCGCTCATGGCAGACTTTCTGCGATGGCATTAATACTAATTCTGCCACCGCAAAGATTGCAAAAATTCTTACTAAAGACTTTAATTGCAGTTTAAATGCTATCCGTCTTGCAAACGGAAGATACAGTGAATCAGGAGAAGAGGCTCTTGGAGAATTACTAGAAGCACACTTCCCTGGATCTCATCCTGTGGAGAATGAAAATCTACATATTACTACCACAACTACTTGTAGTAGGAATGACTGGGAGGCCGCCAAAATGGTGGTCTCCTATGAGAAGGTTGTATGGGCCATAAAGTCTTTTAAGCCCTACAAGTCACCAGGCATGGACAACATCATACCAATGATGCTTATCCAGGGAGTGAATACACTGGCTCCTATTCTATGTAGGATTTTTCGATCCTGCATAGCACTTGGGTATATACCTCTCTCTTGGAAGAATACCAGGGTGATTTTCATACCAAAACCAGGTAAGGAAAATTATTTTGAGGCTAAATCATTCAGACCAATCAGCCTCACTTCCTGTCTGTTGAAAGCGATAGAAAAGCTAATTGACAGACACCTCAGAGACACTGTGCTCATAGAAAGGCCACTGTCCTCCACACAGCATGCCTATCAACCAGGCAAGTCTACAGACACCGCTCTGTATGAGCTCTCATACCTGCTTGAGAAATCTAAAACAGATAAGGAGATGGCTCTCGCAGTTTTCATTGATATTGAAGGTGCGTTTGATAAAGTCCCTGTTGAGACTGTCATCAATGCACTTAGGAACAGAGGCATAAACTCAATAATTACCAGATGGATAGCAAATTTGCTTTCCTCTAGGTATGTTTGTTCCTCTCTATTGGGTGCAAGCATGAAAGTGCATGCAACTGCCGGATGCCCCCAGGGAGGGGTTTTGTCCCCTATCCTATGGTGTATGGTAATGGACTCCCTGTTAGTTCGGTTAACTGCCCTTGGCATTCCCTGTATCGGGTACGATGATGACGGTGTTATTGTTATCAGAGGCAAACATGGAAAAACTGTCTCTGATATCATGAATAATGCACTCCTAGAAGTAGCTAGATGGTGTTTTAAATCAGGCTTATCTGTCAATCCATCCAAGATAAGTTATGTAGCCTTCACACGGAAAAGGCAACTTGATCTAGGTAATGTATACTACCTGGACCATAAATTGGAACTCACGGAGAAAGTCAAGTTTCTCGGGGTTTATTTTGACTCCAAACTAAATTGGGGTCTTCAACTTGAATACTGCACTAACAGGGCCAGAAAAATTTTCTGGTCTTGTAGAAATGCTATTGGTAGAACATGGGGACTGTTCCCCAAAATAGTCTACTGGATATACTCAATGATTATTAGTCCTATCATCACTTATGGCGCAATCGCCTGATGGTCAAGGACTAGATTGAGCTCCGCAAGGTCTAATCTTAACAGACTACAAAGAATGGTCTGTGTAGCCCTGTCAGGCTGTCTCAGGACCACTCCTACAGCTGCTCTAGAGAGCTTACTTGGGCTTCTTCCATTGAACTTACGCACTGAAGTTGAAGCTCAGACAGGCGTAAAGCGTTTTATGTACCTTGGCCTATGAAAAGAGAATTCCAAACACTTGTCATGGGGACATCTTGTTTCACAAGTGAAGGATCTATCCTCTTTTATTATGCCTAGTGATTATATGTCACTAAGATACGCTTTTCACAAGCTCTTCAAGATCCATTTTCCTACTAGAGATGAATGGTTTAATTCTCCTCGGTGGCTTAAAGGCAAATGCCTGATATGGTACACTGATGGTTCAAAGATTGGTGCCAAATCAGGAGCAGGAATTTATTGCTCCAATGATGGTACCAAACTTCACTTTCCCCTGGGAAATTATGCCACCGTTTTTCAGGCTGAGGTCTATGCCATTATCTTGTGCTGCANTGCCCTAAGGCGCATTGTGAAGGGAAATTGGAGGAAGAGGCTTGCCAAGTTCCTTCTTCAACAACATTGTACTCCCACCACCACAACAGGTGCTAGTCCTGCGGAACTGTTGATGGGGAGGAAGCTAAGGACCGTCTTAGATAGACTCCATCCAGATCTGACGGCTGAGAGGAAGTTGAGACAGGAGCAAGATGCGTATAGAAAAAATGGTAGTTCTCTTCCAAGATCGTTCAGTGCCGACGATCCAAGGGGTTTTGTCCCCTATCCTATGGTGTATGGTAATGGACTCCCTGTTAGTTCGGTTAACTGCTCTTGGCATTCCCTGTATCGGGTACGCTGATGACGGTGTTATTGTTGTCAGAGGCAAACATGGAAAAACTGTTTCTCATATCATGAATAATGCACTCCTAGAAGTAGCTAGATGGTGTTTTGAATCAGGCTTATCTGTCAATCCATCCAAGATAAGTTATGTAGCCTTCACACGGAAAAGGCAACTTGATCTAGGTAATGTATACTACCTGGACCATAAATTGGAACTCACGGAGAAAGTCAAGTTTCTCGGGGTTTATTTTGACTCCAAACTAAATTGGGGTCTTCAACTTGAATACTGTACCAACAGGGCCAGGAAAATTTTCTGGTCTAGTAGAAACGCTATTGGTAGAACATGGGGACTGTCCCCCAAAATAGTCTGCTGGATATACTCAATGATTATTAGTCCTATCATCACTTATGGTGCAATCGTCTGGTGGTCAAGGACTAGATTGAGATCCGCAAGGTCTAATCTTAACAGACTACAAAGAATGGTCTGTGTAGCCCCGTCAGTGATAGAAGAGCAGCCTGTTCTGACAGTCAGGCTGCTCTCCTATCACTGTCAAGGTGTAAATTTACCTCTTTGTTAGTGTGGGAATGCTTCTCGGTCCTCTGTGACCTGTCCGCTCATAACAAGGTATCCCTGCATTGGGTACCAGGACATATGGGTATCGGTGGAAATGAGCTAGCTGACGAAGCAGCACGGGCTGGCTCTAATACAATTTTCTGGGGCCCTGAACCTGCGCTGGGAATTTCTCCCTCCTCATTTAGGGCAACCATATTCAAGCTCTACGGCAAGATCGCCCATGAGCAGTGGCGCGCTGCTGACGGTCAAAGACAAGCTAAGGAGCTGAATCGAGACTGTCCTAGTGTACGTCAAAAGGAGCTCTGAAAGCTTAAGAGAAACAGCATAAGGAAGATCATTGGTCTTCTTACTGGTCACTGTATCCTCAGAAGACACCTAAACATTATGGGCATAGAATCAAATTCTCTTTGTTGGGGATGTCATCTAGAAGAAGAAACATCACGACACATTCTCTGTGATTGTGAGGTCTATTCTGCTCAAAGATTTGAGCATTTAGGACAGCATATTGTCAATGCCTGGGAACTGCAAGATGTTCCTGTAAGGTGCTTGCTGAATTTTATTTCAGCCATAGGGCTTTCATGCTAATCATGATTTTAGGGTTTGGGTACAATAGACCTCTGGTCGATGTGCCCTGCTCGTCAGAGCTGCCCAACCTCTAAGTCTAAGTCTATGTTTGATGTTTATGCATCAATTGATGAAAATGCTAAAACTTGTTCTGTTGTTTCAAGAAACTGACGAAGTGCAAAGTAATACTGAATAAACTACATTTGCAGAATGCTTAAAAATGTTCAAAGTCAAAAGAACTCTTTGTATTTACATAGACTTACAGAAAATAAACACCAATCTGTTATAAATGTCTAAAATATATATAATTTGCATTTAAAAGCAAAAGTGGTGCACGAACCAAAATTTCCAAATATTTTAAATAAATATAAGTCCTTATTCATCCCCCTTTTGCTTAGTCATTACATTTCTGCACTCTGTGCTGAATTATTTCAGTTAAAAATATTTTTTAGTTAGTAGTTTTTAATTCCGTTATTTTCTAATACTTTTCGTACATTTTTTAGTCATTATTAGAAATTTTTTGTTGAGCCACATAAATCATTTTAACATAACTATCATTTGAAATGGATGATATATAACCGCAGTTGTACAGTCGACCTAATTTTAGAGTTCACAACTCCTAATGCTCAACTTCGTAGCCTTGTAATATTGACCCCAATCCAGAAGACAAGGGAACTCCTGGATCAAGAAGACCAGGAAAACCACCCACGATCCGCCTGACGGCAAGGGGAGTCTAACCCATGATCCGTCTACCACTGGGGATGTTTCACGTCAGCACTGTGGTCGGTGCAAGTCAGATGCGCAATTCGTATCGACTGGGATTCGAACCCGGTTCACTTCATTGGAAGGCTAAAGCTCTATCTCCTGACCCATCGTGGCTCTGTAATGAAAGATAGTATAACAAACGTTTCCATTGTATTCTTGTTCTATTGTATTATATTCTCTATAATATTGTATCATATCCTCTTCAAATCAAATGAACTTATTTTTATGTTGATTCATTATATTTTATGTTGTTTCATTATATAAAAGTAATTTTAACAAAACTAAAAATATGCAATTAAAAAATAATCAATCAACAATTTTTAACATATTTTACCTTTAGTACAACTGTTATTTATCATGTAAAGTTCAATTTTCTTTCTATCATATAAATTTACAGACCAGTAAGATTTGTATTGTAATTTTTTAAAATATACAGCCAATGAACGTCCATTTCGAAGGAGATTAGTATTCGTGCTACACGATAAAATTTTTGGAAAAAGTCGTGAGAGGAACATATTACTTATTTATTACACATAAGAGATTTATTAATTCCAAGATATAAATAAATAAAGCGGTTTGCTTTAGATGTAAACATTTAAGATTGATCACAGTTATAGTTATAGCAAACATTGAATATGTCGCATTTTAAATTAGTGAAATTTTATTTTTCGTAGTGATATAAATAAATCAATAGCTAAAATCATATCAACAATCGACTTTACATTCATAATTTGATTATTTCCTTTTTGCGAGTAAATATTAAAAATTTTATAAATTATGTTTAAAAATATAAAAATTATGGTGTTGGCAATATTAAGGCTTGAAAGCAAATTTATATAGAAACAAAAACAAAGCAGACCAGTTCGAAAATTAATTCAAAAATTTTTTACTTTCAAAATCCACCTGTTACAACCTATTTTATTAGTTTTTTTCTGTTTCTAAATTATTATACAAGATATATAACTTTGTTATTTTTTTATTCAATTGAGTCCATTGTTCCCTTCAGTTTTACTCATGCCAATTAGTGATCTTTTTGTAACTTCCGATTAAATCTTTCTAAGATGAGTCAATATAATTTAAGAAATCCTGGTGAGTAAAGGGTTTCCCTATAAAATGAAAAGCATTTAATTTATTTACTGATTAATTTTTCGCACTTCTAACAATCTATTAAGATATTTACGCTTAAATAAAATATTTATGCTTTCTTTACATTAACTTAAAAAAGATTTTTTAAAACAAAAACGTACTTAACCTATTTTGTCTTTAACTATTACTTTCTAATTTTATTTTTTAAGATAGGTGCTACATCAAAAAATTGTTCTAGAGACATGCTCATTTTCCCTTATAGATTATTTCACTAAAGACTTTCTTTGAAAAATTAGTAATACTTGTATTTGACTACAACTAACAGTGTGCCTCTTTGTCAAACAGTTTTGTTGGGTTTTTTTTCTATTATTTATTTCCGACTTGTATCACATCTATACCAATTAAGAGCAATAAAGGAATTTTTGATAATTATTTGTTATTGCTTTTCAAAGATGGTTTTTGCTGGTAAAAAAACTAAAAATGTAGGTATATATGGTCTTAATAAAGTATTGATTATCTAAATTAGTAAATATTCAATTCCAACTTAATAAAAATAACTCATATTATGCCTTGTCCTGGAAATATAAACATTGGTGGTACAAATATTATTCAAAATGTTGTTTTTGTTTATGACATTGTTGTCAAAATCCATCAATGGTCTACAGTTCAGTGGTGTTTGAAATATAATAAATACAACTCTTATTTTGCCTTCGCCTGGAGGTTCAAACATGGGTGTTATTACGCTACTCAAAATACTATTTCTGTCTATTATGTTGTTTATGTCAATTATCAAGTTTCACAATCTGAGGTTTAAAACTTGACAAAGGAAACTTCCATTATACTGGTTATTGAAATTCAAATATAAGGGTAAGCTCTAAGGTTACTCACAATGTTATTTCGATCTTATATGTAATTATCAACATCCGCCAACACTCTTAAAGTTCAGTGATATAGCCAGTATCATTTTGATTTGCTGTAAAAATTAAATACAAAAATAACAACATTGGTTGTCAACTAGTTCCATTCATTTATTGTTTGAATGTTTTGTTATATGTTTGTTGTACTTTTAGAATAATTAATCTTTAGGTCTATAGAAATCTATAATTTTATAATCTATGATAATTTTTCTATCTCGAGGAATACTCTTGTTATAAATGATTTTCTTAACATTTTCATTCTTTGCAGCTGTTAAAAGGTTAATGCGAGAAGCTGAAGAACTCAGGTATCCAACCTCTGAATATCATGCACAACCGCTTGAGGTAATTTTTATACATTTTGATAATTTTTAGGTAATTTTTGTACATTTGATGGTTATAAATGATTCTGAGCTAAATTTTAAGCCTTCATAAAAATTTAACATGAACCAAGTAAATTTTCTTTTCTACTTCAGTATATTCTGTTTTGTTTTGAACTTTCAATTTCATATATTGAGATTTTTTTTTTTTTTAAAGTTATTCGGGATTTGTGTATATTTTATGTTATCAAAAGTCAATCTAATTTTTGATAGCTTTTTTAAAAGTGAATGAATTAATATGATTAACATCAATTTTAGTACAATGTTTTTTATATTCCTTTTTTTCTTTAAAAAAAATAATAAATAAATAAATTAAAAAAACAAAAGTAGAAAAAGGCCAATCAATCTAAGGCTAATTAAGGGCCATTCTCTGACCACACTAAAATACTCTTTAATCATAAGTTACATTAAAGTATTGTATTACTGTTTTTTTTTTTTATTTCTTTTTTTTTAGAATTTATGTAATATTATTCAGATGCAACTAGTCACAAAAATTTATTTCCTAATTACTATAACTAAATTAAATGATAAAAAATTAATTTAATAATAAAAAAAAATAAGTTAAATGATTATAACATTCTTCAGAAAAGTTTTGATCAATGACCTAAATGTAGGATAAATAAATAAATAAAACTATTTAAGTGTTTTATTCAATATTTAAATTAAAATGAAGTTTAACGTGATTTTGTGTATTAGTTTTCTGAAATTCAGTACAGGATTTGTTTCACTCTTTAAACTTTGTTTTTTTATTTTTCAGGATAATCTTTTTGAATGGCATTTCACTCTTAGTGGTCCACCAAATACAGAATTTGAAGGAGGAATATATCATGGCCGAATTACGTTACCCCCCGATTATCCCATGAAACCTCCTAGTATTATATTATTAACTGTAAGTATTGTCTTCTTATTTTTCTTATCCTTTTGAATAAGTTTTTTATTAATCAATAATATCTATGCTAGAACTCAATCTGTTAGATGATTTTTTTTTCTGCAAATATATATGTATATAAAACCATGACCAAATTATTTTTCCTCCTGATGTGTCTTGTTATATTTCCTATAATATTACTATTTGCCCGATAACCTCTAATTATTATTTCAGTGTGCTGAATAGAACTTTTTATTAATATTATAAAACAAAAACGAATTTCAATTTGATTTGATATAATACAGATACTTTCAACTCCTGATTATCTTAACAATATTAAGTGTAAACATTAACTTATTATTTTTAATGTGTGTCATATCTGTGTATTTTTAAATAAATTGTAAGTGTTGTTAAAGTTTTTTTAGGCACTACTATTTATAACTGCATCAAAATCTTCAACAACATTTACAAACTTAACTAAGCATAGATCCATTCATTCTGTATAATATTTGTAAGCAAGGAAAGTTCTCTTGTAAAGAATTAATTTTAAGTTTATAAGAAAGAAATTTAACAATGAATAACATTAATCTTAGAAGTGTTTTGAAGCAAAAATATATAGAAAAACAAAAATATGTCATTTTCTACTTATTTCATAAATATTCATGGGCACATGGAGCATGGAGAATATTTCAGCTGATCAAATATATTATTTACATATTATGACTCTGAAAGAGTGGGTTCTCGTTATCAATGATATTTAGCTGCAGAGTTTAACTTAACACATAACAAAAAATCTTTCATTCTAGACATGATCAAGATAATATTTGATGTATGGATAAATTAAGAAAATTACACACTTTTAATGACTTTTCACCTTATGATTAGATTGTTACATGTTTTGAGAGCCTTTGTAAAATATACTTATCAGTTAATCCTGAGCTTTTCTAAATTGTACATCCCGACCAATACTAAATAATGAACAATCTAAATACATGAGAAAAAGATTTGAGTATTTAAAGCAAGTTTCATTTCATAACTAATATAATAACTTAATTAGCTGCACTAATTAACTTTTACTTAAATACATGTCTCAAAGCATTAAGATTGTATTTCAGTTTATCACAAGTTATTATTGGGACAAAAATCATTTAGAGTAAAATGATTATTAATTTATTTATGTGTGTATTTATTTATATATATGTAATTATATATATATATATATATTTTGCACACAAGTTCTATGAAATGTTTGCTTAATTATTATTTTTTTTTTCATTCCTAGCCTAATGGGCGGTTTGAAACTAACAAAAAAATTTGTCTCAGTATCTCTGGTTATCATCCTGAGTCATGGCAGCCATCATGGTCAAGTGAGTTTATTTTAATTATTTAAAAAAAACAGGGGTTAAAAATAATGTGCAATCATGACTCAAAAATTACATTGTTTACCCAGGGCATATATAAAAAAATTTGAGACCCTTGTTTCAGACCAGGCATGTAAATATTTTTTTAAGAAATATCCTGAAGTACCTTAGGGCATTCTCAGATTTTGATCAAAATCATCAAGATATTGGATAGTTGAAAACATTTGTTATGAATGTTACTAAATTTAATTTTATAAATAAGAAATAATAAAACAAAGCTAGTTTTATTTTTATTTCCCTAGTCATACATGTTCTTATTTTAAAAAAAAAACATTTAAAATATAAATTTGCCATTTATCGCTGTAGTTAATTAAATATGAAAGTTGAAACTATAAAGTGAAAGCTGAAACATCTGAAAATCAACATTATTTTTACATTTCTTACTTAACCCCTGTTTCAAATTTTTAATGAAATTTCAGGTTATTAAAGCACAGGTTTTTATATGTAAAGTTTGTTTAAAATTCTATTGAACTTAATATTTGTATTTTTTTTAGCTGAAGGGAAGGAGGCAAGTAATACATTATTAATAATAATGTTCTGCATTTATTACATCAAAACTTATTCACGCTTTAAATTTTTTGTTAATATTTAATATAGATTATATCATACTTAATTTAATAGTACAATAAAAATAATGTTTTAATTTTTTTAAGAATCAATACACTTTTATGTTTCTAAGAAATACAATATTTTATTAGGCATGTTAAAATTTCTAAATTTTCTGAGACTCAGTATCTTATATTTTTAAATAATTCTGTGTCTAGTATTATAATAGCAACATTAATTAAATTTTATCTATTTAGATTTGTATGTATTAATTAAATGTGTAAAGATCTCTGTTTCATTGCTTAAAAATTTTAGATATAATTATTTTTGTTACCACTGATTTTTTTATTACTATTTTAATGACATTTAATTATGAATGTTTTTAGGCAATATTGAATTTTATAAACTAATATGAAAAATAACTAATATCTTTCAATTGCAAACTATTTTATTTTAATTTTCTAAGATGAAATAAATTATATAAATTTCAACTATAAAATTTCTCTTTCCAACTCTATGTACTTTCAGTTGAAAAGAAAAACATTATTTTTTGAATTATAATTGATGATTCAAATTAAATTTATTTAATGGCTAATATTTTCCTTTTTGAAGTTATCAATATTAATTTCAATTTGAAAGGTAAGATTCTATTTATAGTTTTTAATTTATTATTAGTTTTAAAAGTATAATTTAAATGAAGTATAAGTATAATTAGTTTAAAAGTATAATTTATAAAAAAAACTTTTCAGTTTTTTTTTTTAATTAGTTTAATAAGTCAGCCTTCATCTTAAGTTAGTGCTTAGCATTACTTCTATATCTTAAACTAACTGTGACTTAAAATTTCCCTTTATACAAACCAAAATTTAATTTCTTATCCATTCATTTCCTTTTCTTTTCTTACTACAAGAACTAGAGCTGGACTATTCCACGAGTGACTGATGTAACATCAGACTACTTTTTTATCTCATTTTATTTACTGATTACAAAGGTATCTTCACCAATTTTACTTTGTAGAAACTTATACACTTTTTAATTAAAAATGTTGCAAAATATTTACTTTAGGCAAAAAAAAGTTTTAATTAATAAAAAAAATATACTCTGAATGACACTGAGTCACTGAGCAATACGACCAACTGAGTCAGAAATTTTAGTTGAACTATTTTTAATTTAGTTGAATTATGAGTCAGAAATTTTAGTTAAAAAAAAAAACACAATTTTAAAACTTAAAATTTTTAAAAAAATAGCTTTTCCAAAAATATTTTTCCATCATGAAGGACAAGGAATTGTAACAGACATGAGACATGTATAATTTTGAACTGTATTTGGCTATTATTTTACTGTAAATGAAAATATTTAATTTCTGTTAAGTCAAAAAAATTGCTTACAGTATATTTTATGAACGAATTATAAAAGGAGTAGTTAAAGTTTTCAATGTTCTCAGAAATATATTAGCATTAAAGCTCTGCGCAGTTCTTACTACTTTATAACAGATTATCTGACTATGAGTTTTTAAATCTGGAAGCTTCTTTTATGTCAATTGACACTGAAGAATTGATTGTTCATTTTCTGTTTTAGTTATCTGCCCATGAAATGCTTTATTTTAGTAAGTATCAGCATTGAACTATCTCCTTCTTGGAATTGAATCACCTATTCTCTAAATTTATCTCATTATTTTTTATTATCCAGACCTAAATTTGATCATTCCATTTTTTTCTGAGACTTAGATAAGATATTGATCCCAGGACATATCTTAAATACTTCTTAAATACAAAGGAGATATTTTGTATCTTTGTTTTTCCAGCTTTATATAGTAAAAAAGATCAATTTTTTACAATTAGAACTTGGAGACTGACTTGATGTACTGTCTTTTGTAAAAAACTTTCTGCTTCTTTGCTTCCTTTGTCATTTCATCAATGCAATTAAAAGGATTATTTTGCTAGTAGCTAGAACTATTTTGGGTGCATGTTGTACTATTTTTGTTCTTATTGTTTTCGAGGATATTTTTCATGATTTATTTTGTCTTTCACTAAACAAACACTTTTCTGTTTTTTTATTTTATGTAATCAAATTTTTCTTGCATAAAAGTATCCTTCATTTAATCTTTTTGTTGTACTTTTTATTCTAACCACTTTCCTCTGACCCAATGCTTCTCTTTTCTTGCCTTTCAGCTACTATTTTAGCCATTGATAACTAAAAGTATTTAAACAAATTCTTAGCAGAGATGCCAACTTGCTCCAGAGAGCAAATATATATTTTCAAGTGGTAGTTTATCAATTGTGATTCTTGGTTTAATAAATTCAATTTAGCAGATTTTTATGCACCACTATTTCTAAATTATTTGTAGGTTTATATAATTCACCACTTTTATCAGATATGTTATGCTATGCCTCTTAAAAAGCAAGCAAAGATAGTCAAATATTTGCAAAATTTACTTGGTAGTTTTTACCGTTTTTTTTAATTATTTTGGCGTGTCTGGAGCAGTTGGCATCTCCGTCTTAGTACTAAATGGCATTTTCAATGTTGTAGTATTACTTTTTTAAATGTTTTCTTTCTTTTTTTATAGGTAACAATGTTCTGAATAACATTCAGAATTATGTTTTCAATGATTTTCTTCAGATAAAATTCTTTACATTATTAATGTTTTCAAAATTTAAATATGCACCTCTTATAATCTTGAAATATCCACTTGTTTGTTCTTCCTTTTTGCTATAATACTCTGCTAGACTTGAAAAATTTTCTTGGATCATGAAACAAGGTTCAATGCTTAAATTAAGTAGTTAACTATATGCTGTAAGATTTCTTGTTATAAATAGCAAAGTAAATATATATTAGACTATTCTTTAGATCCCCTTGGGTTAGACATGACAAATTTTAAACCTTATTTTTCCAGTCAGTTTTGAAATTTAGTTTACACTTTTTATAATAATTTTTTCTTTTATTCCAGAAAAAGAAATATATCTTAAAATTATTGAATGTAAATTTATTTTGCTAAAAGGAAAGAAGTTCAAGGTTTTTGTGACAGACATGACACAAATCTATTAAACTATCTAAGGTTACCAAAAAAGGTTTGTCATAATTAAATGTAAAGATATAATAACGTTGATATAATTCTTTTTTCTTATTACTTTCATGAAATCCCAACTTCTTTCTTCAACTTAAGACCAAAAAAAAAAAAAAATTATTGTGCTGAAATTTAAAAAATAGTCTTTGTGGATGCTTTTCATGATATTAACTAGTCACGATGGATCAGTTGTTAAGGACATTGAACTGTCAGTATGAAGGATTGAGGTTCTATCATCAGTGGGCAGTTTATCTGCCAAGTTTCAGATCAATAAGTACTAACTTTTCTGCAAAAAAAGGCACTTCTGAAGTTTTATAGATTAATATAACATTATAAACTCATTTAGATTAATATTTTAGTAAACTGCATGAGTTTACTAAAATCACCACTATATATCACCATATATCACAACTATATTTTAGTTTATAAATAAATTTAAAAGTATAACTATTGTACATGGTATCAACAAATTTTATCATGTTATACTTGGAAGAAAAAATATTTTGTAGATGGAAATAATGCTTTCAATTGTAAGTTTAGGCTGTGCTTGATTATTTTAATAATTTAGGATTTAGAAATTTTTTAAAATCCATTTTCTATTTTTGAAAAGTTCATTTATTTGCAATTTTTATTTCTTTATAATATGCTGTCATAATCAAATTCAGAATATTTATGTGGTTGGTGCCATACTAGCATACTGTTAAGGCACTGAACTGTCATTGCGAAGAACTGTGGTTTGATCCCCTGTGGCAACTTTTAATCCACCCAGCTTCAGATCAATGTGTACCAGTGTGCTTGAGAAGTAGCAGTTACGTGTATGCAATTCGGACAACGGTACTACAATTCTGCTGTTGGTCACAAAATTATGGGACCTTAACCTCCATGACCCCTTGTCCCACATTGGGCGGTTGCAGGAACGTTTTTTTTTTTTTTTTTTTTTAAATAATTTTTAGTAATGCAGAATTATTTTTTATTACCATAAAAGTTATTCACTAGGTAAATACTTTCAAACCATTTTGATTTTGCAGTTTATTTTAAATTTCACCTATGAATTATTGTTTTGAATCTTGAGTGTGTAGATTTCTTTTTTAAAATTGTCTAGTATAATGCTCTTTCTATTTCAGTAAGGACTGCATTGTTGGCTATTATTGGCTTTTTACCTACTCACGGGAATGGTGCTATTGGTTCTCTTGATTATACTCCTGAAGAAAGGAAAGAATTAGCGCTGAAGTATGCTTTTAAAGTCTTATACTATATTACATTTAAATATATGATAGTTTAAAATGGTTTTTATTATGAATAATAAATGAGTTGCTTGTGAAATTGGTATTGTTTTTACATTAGTTGAGATTTTAAATATATCTATTTTTATTTTTAATTAATTTCTTTTATTTGTGTCTCAGGGAGTACTAGGATCAAATATCGTTAAATAAATGTCATTATATATAGAAAAATAATGTGTAGTAAATTAAAATAAAATGTTTTGATATATTTTTATTTAATTATTTTTTGAAACAGTGCTGAAAGTTGAGTAGGAATCTATTAATTTATGTAAAATATTTGGAGCATAACTGATCATTATTTTCCATAACTGTCAGAATAATTAATTAAAAGATTTTTCTCTGAAGTTCCATTCCTTTAACATATGGCACAACCTTATGTTCATGTATATATTCAGAGATATTATATTTGACCTTATAGACAGAAAATTTTTTCCTGTATACAACTGTTTTCTATCTTAAAAAATTTATACTGGTCTATGTTTTTTTAAATTATTTGTGAATTTTTTCTTTTTAGTTATTTCATTCTCTTTTTAAAATATTTATTTAGTTACATTATCTCTGACATGAACATAGAGGCTTAAAATTGACTGGTTTATATTATTACAATCCTTTCTTAGTGTTAAAAACCACTCCTCTAGTTCAATTTGAACAAAAATTGTATGTATATTATCAAGAAAGGGAACCTCATTTATCTTGCCCTGAATCATGTAAATCAATTGCATTAACGAACATTAAATATTGCTATGCAAACCATTGAATAGATTTCATACCTACTGTTATTCATATTTGTGTTGTGTACGTATGTCACTGACAATATGTTTGCAAAATACAGAATTTGTTTTAATGTTTGTAAATGCAGGCAGTGATGGGGAAGAAACAATTACGATCTCCACCATTTACATCCCACATGAAGTTGCTAAAAACTTGTTTCCTGTCTTTTCTAGAATCAATTGTTTTTCAAAATACATTTTACATTGAAAAATCATCAAGATTTGATCACACACTCAAAAGAAAGAAAACAAATTATTAGATGTTCGCCCTATTCGTGTACAAAAAAATTTGTAAAGAAAATAGTTATTTTTAAGCATTTTTTTGTACATTATGATTTTTTTTATTTTTGTTAATTTTGACTGAACCTGGTTTAGTGAGTACTCTGATTTTTTATTTTTGTTAATTTTGCCTGAACCTGGTTTAGTGAGCACTCTAATTTTTTATTTTTGTTAATTTTGGCTAAACCTGGTTTAGTGAGTACTCTGATTTAATGAGTGAATTATCTTGATCCCTTTATTTTGGTTATGAACTGCTTACACTATATAGAGCTTTACCTATTCCTTTGATCAAGGATGGTACTACAATTCCAAATCATACATCTAGATACATCTTGAGTCTACTTATTTTTCTTAAATGTAAGCTTTTATTATTATTATAGCATGCTTGTGAAAATTTCTTTGCGCATGACGTTTGAAATTTATTTATATTTTAAACTTATGAAGGTTCTAACTTTTCAGATCACGGAATTGGAAATGTCCTCAGTGTGGTAACATTAAGCAGCATTTAGCAGAAAAAAGTTGTGATACAACAGAAAATCATAAATTCCTAGAAAATGAAGAACCTACAATAAAAGTAACAATAATAGAAATTATGCGTGTGAAGTTAATTTAAAATTATTGTCATAATATTTATCTATAATTCTGCTTAAATCTGTGTTGAAAAATTGTTTTACTACACTTTTTACAGCTGTAAATAATTTTTATACATTTTCTAATGTCTGAAAGTACAGTTTTTTAAGCACAAAGATTGTAATTAAAGGCTATATGGGTTATTACTATTTTTAGTTTTAATTTTTTTTTTTTTAAAAAAGGCTTTTTTATTCTTTATTTTATTATTATATATAATAAAAGTATTAACCTTTATATGTCAATTTAATGCTGTATTGAGTATTATATGTTTGTAATATCAAATAAATGGATATTGAGATTAGTGCAATTTAAATACGTAAAACTGTTATGAACAATTAGTTGATACATTTCAAAATTTAAGTAATTTCAAATTTAAAACGCAAAAAATCTAATCTGATTTTTGGGCAATTTTTTACAATACTTGTCAACCTTTGAGCATTTATTGGAAAGAAGTGTTTTGTAGTTTTCTTCTCCTAAATCTTAATGTGTGTAAGATATATTCCATGTCAAATTTATTTTTCTTAGTGAAAATGCAATTGAAAAGCAGAAAAATTTATAATCCTTAAAATCAAACCACTACGTAAGCGCTAGCTTTTTGGAATGTATGGTATTAGAGTCAGTCCCATGATTATTCTACAATTATCCTCTTTTTTTTTCTAAATAGTTCAGTCTGCAATTTATAATCAATGTCATTAAAGGATATTTTATAATTTTTATAGATTTAACTTTCCTGAAAAAAAAAATTAACTGTACTTGGTACAGATTGGTTGATTACTACTAGTATGATTCTAGAATTTGTTATTTCTTATTTATTTCAAACTATGCAAACATTTAAAGCTAAAAATTACTTTTATTTGGAAATATTTTTCTTGCTAGAGGAAAAAAAGGGATTTCCAGGGAATTGTTTTTAAATAAATACTTAATATTTAGGGAGTAAAACTCATTTTTAATAGCATGTTTCTTTCTCCTTTTAAATTTGTAACTGTTCTAGCAATTATTTATATAAAGTTAATGAGCAAAGTTATCATGTAACTAATTGAAATGGTTTGATTTTAGGATGAAAAATCGCCTCTTACAACAGAATGTACTAACTCAGCAATGTCAGAAACCTTTCCTTCAAATGTTACCAAACCAGCTGTGTCAACCAAAAATCCTGATCTAACTGAAAATAACAATTTTTCTGTCGATGTTGCTACTACTTCTGCTGTTCCGTCCATTGGTTTACCAACAGAAAATATTTTAAGACACAGACAAAATGTATCAGAACTTGAAAACAGTGCAGTGACTGTTCAGACAAGTGTAACAAGACCTATGTCTAACAATTGGTCTTCCACGCTTATGTGGGTTATTGTTATCTTGTTAGGAATTTTAATTTTAAGACGTATTATATGTCAATAGTTAGATATTTTTAAACATGTTTATTCAATCTATATCTGCTTAATAAATCATTTATTTTAAAACACTGTTGAAAATTGATCCGTATATTTTAACCCTACAGTATAATCGCTATTGATCTTTCGCAAGCGGCCATTCATTACAAATGATAAATACGGGAAAACAACAAATGCGGGTAAGCTCGAAATATCAAATATTGACTAGATACTTATGTAAAATTAATACATTAAAATTATTTTTAATATTTAATACATACGTATTAAAAATTACTACTACTTCTGCAATGCCGTTCATTAGTTTATCTACAGAAAATATTTTAAGGCATAGGCAAAATGTATCAGAACTTGAAAACAGCGCAGTAACTGTTCAGGCAAATGTAACAAGACCTATGTCTTCCACGCTTATGTAGGTTATTGTTATATAGTTTGGAATTTTAATTTTAAGACGTATTATACCTCAATAGTTAGATATTGTTAAATATATATTATATCTGCAATTATATAAATTCATATTATGTCTGCTTAATAATTCATTTATTTTAAGACACTGTTGCAAATTGATCTGTATATTTCAGTGCTACTCCATATATAGAACCTCTATCAATCTTTCTCAAGGGACCATTCATTACAAATGATAGATACAGAAAAACAGCAAATGCGGGTCAGCTTGAAATATCAAATAATGACTAGACACTCATATAAAATTAATAAAAATTTTACTTGAAAAATTATGTACTTCATGTACAAATATTTACAATGCATAAGAAGGATAAATAAATATATTTATTATTTAAAAGATCTGTAAATTTAAGTTCTCTTTCTTAACAATGAACTGACATTTGTTACAAATTTCTGTTCATTTTCTGAAAAGTTCTAGATGGAAGATAGCTTAGCTAATAGCTCAGATGCAGAATAATCTTCTTAAATCCAAATTAGTCTGCAACCTCAAGGTGTCAAGTAGAAATTAATGTTATAAAAATTTAGCTTAATCTAGCATACATGTAGCAAAATTTGCTAATATAAGAACCTTAAAAGTTATACATAACCTTATGTTGTTTAAATCAGGGTTGGGTTTTTGACGTCAAAAAGTGGTTTTTTACGTCAAAAAGTGGTTTTTGACATGACAAGGGTATAATACTGGTTTAAACCGTCAAAAATGTCAAAAACTGAAGTTTGCCAAGAAAATATATAAACTTCAAAACTACCAACAGTTGCCATGCATTATATTGAAATTTAATTATACTATAGGTAATCAGCAGGTTTTAAAATATTTTTTAATTAAAATTAAGGTAAAATAACAGATTTAAAATCTCAGAAATTTATATTCAAATGCATGTGCAGAAAAATTTTGCACAAAAATTGTTTAAATATTTATATTTAAAAATTTTTTTTTTTTTTTTGATACTTAAGAAAATTAAAAGTTTATTACTATGCATTTTTGACATATAAGGAACATATAACTAATATTTATAAGGAACTTACAAGTTATGTTGTATAAATACAAACTTGATACAAGTGTATAAAAATTTTTTTTTAATGTTATACCGAATATCTTTATTATCCAGTATGTTAATTTGAATTTAAAAGTAGTTATATTTGTGAATAATGATAAATATAATTCATATTGTTTATTATATTTATTTATAATTATTACACTTATCATTTTAAAACAATTTTTATCTCTTAATTTTTTTTTCTCCACTTGTATTAAGAATACAAATAATGCATATCTTGAAAGCAAGAAGTAATTATTCAACAGCTGAATATTTAGATATTCAACAAAACTATATAGTATTCAGCAAAATGAAATTCACAAGTATTTGGATAAACTAAATTTTCAGCATAGTAAATGAATAGGCTGAATATACTGTAAATCGACACTAACTACTCTGTGTATTTAACAGAAAGCACTTAAATTTGTATTGTCTTATGTTAAAAAGATTATTAAGAAGATTTAAAAGAATATTAAAAAGATTTTTCTTTAAAAGAAGATGTCTAATGTACAAAACTGCTAATGTTTATCTTTAAAAATGTCTAATTTTTAGTATAATCTATACTATACACTAAATTTGGTTATAAATAAATTTCTTAATAATATCACTGCAGATTTTCAATAACACATGAAAATGAATACATAATATTACAAAAGATGTGAGTTTTCAAAAGTACAAGATTTTGGTTACTATTCAAAATATAAGTGTTTCTTCAAAATTTTAAATTTATTTTTTCTAGAACATATTTAGAAACACTATCCTTTAAAAAATATATAAATTTTATGTATTAATTAAATTTCACATATGAATATAGGTTTTTGACATATTCGACATTTTTGACAGTGAGGTTTTTGACGTGACGGTTTAAACCATGGTTTAAACTGTCAAAAACCTGCCAACCCTGGTTTAAATTGAATTTTATACCAATGATACTCAAAAAAATGCAATAATTCTTTACTCTTAGTTCTTTGCCATGTTCTTTCAATTCAACTCTCAATTTTATTCAAAACAAATATAGAGATGTTTTAAAAAGTAGTTTCAGTAATTCCCCTCTCCTCCATTTGTTTGTTTACGTTTTAAAAATAAAACATAGATACTTAAAAGGAAAGTAATCTGCCTTTGCTATAACAATCTATAGTTGGAAGATTTCTGCTACCAGGGCTGGTAGTCATAGCTTTATAAAACAGGGATTGAAATTGCAAGAATTGTTTTTTCTCTGTATTGATTCCTAAAATAATTAAAAATGTCTTTCGTTTAAACCTTTATCATATAATATTGATCATTTAAAAATCAGAAAAAATATATTTCCCTAAAAAAATGTCTTAATAGCAGAAAGCTAGTAATTTTTAATTCCTGGTAATCATAAAATTTATGTATCTTACAATGAAGATATTGAAATTGACATTTCTTACTAGAAAAGATAATTTTAATGTTTCATTCCAAAAGTTATTAATGAAAAAGAATTTAAAAAATTAATTTATTTAAATTTGTCTTAGAATCAGACTTCAATTCTATATAAACTTCGACTTAATCTTTACTTCAGTTCTATTCAAAGCTTCTATACTATCCGATTGTGATCAATGTGTGGACTGGACATTTGAGCAGCTGGAAAGGTTCTTAGTGTCTTGCTCATTTTCAGCTGATTTTATGGGAAATACAGGAACTTCTATAATGATCATGCACTCTTATGATATGTTTTTAGGCTGCTTATGAGAAATAAAGATAAAAATTATGCATATTTGTGTTTATCAAGCAATATTTGCATGATAAAAACTAAAGCTATTTAAAAATGTTTAATCATAGCTAAGTTAATAACAAATGGAGAGACAAGATGAAAGCATCAAAATCTCAATTTATTTATCCAGTGGTCTTAGAATGATTTTGTCTTTTATTTAGAAGCATGGAGTTTTCCCAAAAATAGGTTTTTAATGAATTTAATCCCTCCTTTGCTTTTATGGATCTCCATAATGATTTTTGACTTTTTAAAACCTAACTTTTAACTTCAAACTTTTCTTAACATTAAGGTTTAGATTATTTTAATCCTTTCTTCCATTCCAGAGCTGGAGAAGGTTTTTTTTTCTCTCATCTATTTCATATTTAAAAATTCCCAAACCCGTATGTGCATGTTTAACTTTATTTTTTAAATAAGAATCGGAAAGTATTCATTGAAGGTTCTCTTTACGAATATTGCTCTCCATGATTGTTTTGCAACATTCATTTAAGCTATATCTCTAATAAAAATGTTTTAGATTGTTAAAAGTTTTCTTTTCATTTTATTGATGTTTGTAAAGAATAGTAAGAGTAAGATTTAAATTATAATTTGCCATCCCCCAGGTGCAAAGTTTTATGTTCCAAGATTCTAAAAATCACTCTATATATAACAGCAAAATGTCTGGATGTATGTTCGCTTGCTAGAGAACTAAAGCACCGAGTTCGATCATATTTTTTTTCTTTTCTATAGTTTGTAAATTTTTATGGGGTTTTGTGTAAACAATCGTCTTTTTCCAGCGTTTTGCTGCTCAGGTACAATTTCGAAATTACAAAATTTCCTTGATGAATACCATTGTTATAAAACGTATAACGATAAGAACGTATGCTGTCATAAAACTATATTTTTACAAAATATTTAAACAAAACAAAAAAGAGCAGATGATACCTTTAGAAAAAATTAAAATATCCATAAAACTAGCTAAACTCATGGTTTAAGTGCGGAAGTAAGGCGTGCTAATGAGGCTAACATAAGTTATTTAAAATAGAAAAAATATATTTCACTATAAGTGGCAATGTTAAACATATGTGTTCATATTCGTCCGAGCTCTTAAAATATTTTAATACTAACTATTAATTTTCATCATTGATAGTTCACATCATTTTTGACCACGAATTCTAAATTCTGAAACTTGATATTATTATCCTTAAGTAAAAATTCAAAATTTTTATTGAAAATATCTACTTATCGGTTATTGCTACCATGAAGCCAAGTTCACCAACGAGTAGATAACACCAAGTTCTGATTTGCATTGGTGACTAAAACGATAATACACATAAGTACATCGAATATGACATCATGAGTATTGTACACAGCGATAATTATTGAATACAATATTATTGTGAATTTTGCTACATTTTATTTTGGTAACAAAAATATTAACATCAATGTAGAAATCAGATTAATTGAGAAAACTCATGGATGTGTTTATGTTTGGGTGGGTAACAACTCGAAAAGCAGTCACTATAAATATATGTCCCTTATAATCGATACGTAGAAAGTAAAAATTCGAGTGGAAACATCGGATAGATGCCCCAAATGTACCTAAATTAGTATATACTAGTGGGCTGCGCCCCCTTCTCGCTAACGCTCGCCAACCCCCGAAAATTGCTACGCAATCTTATATGGTTTGCTTCGCAAACTAAGCTCGCTTCGCTCGCTACTAACTTAGGTACATTACAAATTTACACAATTCTAAGAATTCAGAACAATTATTCAAATCCGTATAACAACTTTTTTTAAAAAAAGAACATTACATCTTTTTAGTAAATACTACGTTATTAAAATAAATTTGAATTCAAATAAATGACGTGTAATTCGTTAAAACCTATTAGAAATGTGCTATAGTATAAAATCTTAAGATAAAATTTCTAAAACTGATATCTCTTTAAAAAGGTTATTATTTCAATTTTTAATAGACTTAATTATATAATTAAGTCTATTAAAAATTGAAATAAGTGAATTGCAGTGGAAAAACCTGCATAAACAAATAAATTCTAATAAAACAAATTCGACTACTCTCTTCTGCCTAGCTTATGCTCTCTCTGGTTATTTCAGTTTCCGTTTTTAAAAGCACTATATGTTGTATATGTTGAGCCATCTAAGCTAGATTTGGCATGTGACATTTTTAGCGGCAATGATTGGTCAATTTTCTAGTGTTGCCATTCGGGGAGTTGTAATGAGGCCTTTTTTTTATCGCCGTGTAAGAGAAATATATATATAGATATTTGAGTACGCGTGTTTAAGACTTAGATCGGTTAAGTCCTTAACCTCAAGGGGAAAAAATTGTAATAGCAAAAATCTTTCGCTTAGGCTTAAAAAAGTTAATTAAAACTGGTTGGCCAGCAAAAGTTCGTTTTAATGGAATACCTGCAAGTGACGTAGTGTGTGTATCTCGCTCCTGATTGGTTGTTGAAGCTGGCTTTTGTTTACAATAGCAACTGTTCTTTCCATTCTATTTCGAGTAAGCCAAGCCCTTCAGTTATCAATCCTCTTACGTGACACATTTTATATTCTTTCGCAAAGATTTCAATTCTTTCACTATATATTTCTTACTTAGCACTTATATAGACACGAGGCCATGTAGAACACAAACAAACTAATTATGCATCGAAGTTGCCAGGTACACAAACAAAAATATACGAAAAATACATTTACAAATAATAAATCTAAGTTGAATAAAAGATGTAGACGAGAAAGAATTATATTTTAACATGTTCCCTGAGTGAAACGGAGCTGTATTTCATTAAGTTCACGTTGATGAACATTCTAACTTATTCGGAGAAACTTAGCTCAACTTTAACACGCCATTTTGCTTCTAAACGATTACTGGCACTGACATCATAGGTCACGTGTGTGGGTATTGTTATCTTCTTCTCGAAGGGCAAATACCCAATTACCAATTAAACGTGTCAAATAAACGTAAAGAGTTTTTTTAGCGTAATTATTCATTTACTTGGTTATGCTATATTTTAGTTTTTGAACAGCGCCATCATGGACAAATATTTCTACAAAATTTGTTTTTTACTTCAAAATAATGTATTGTTCACTGTTTAAGATCTGTGTATTCTTTCAACTAAATGACATTTATAGCAGTTAAAATTTGTTTCGTTTTAGCAAAAAAAACCTTAGTAAATGAAATTCAGTGTCTCGCATAATTAATGATAGCAAATAAGTGCTCAGTTGATTTTGACAAAATTACTAATTTGATTTAGTATCCATCAAAGGCGAGGTCACAAAAATTACCATATTTGTATTTCCTTAATATTAGCATATGTTGTATAAATAAATTTAATAATGATTTCACCACGATACCTTATAAACATGTTTACAAATATTAAATCCTCCCTTATTTGAACTTTGAACAACATGAATTTATTATGTTTACTTACTTTCTTCATTTTTTAATGCACGATTTTAAAACTCGAAATTCTAGAACTTCTTTAGAAAGGCTGACCTCCTGGTCGCTGGAGGCGTCTTGTAGTTTGAGCAAAATATGATAGCGTCTAGTCTAACAGTTGGGCTGAAATGTTCGTAGGCTGACTCATAGATGGGGCTACTATTATTAAAAACATATGATTTTTAGTTAGTTCTAACCTTCGAAAGACGCGTGTATAATTTTGACAGCTGTCGGACTAACAGTTTGTGAGATATAGTATTTTTAGTGAAGCAACTTTTGTTAGTTTAAAAACAATGCATAAAAAGGAATTTCGCGTGTTTAAAAAGCATTGCTTTCCAGAGAAAAAAATACTCTTGAAGCTAAGGCTTGGCTTGTGAAACATTATTCGAACTCTGTACCAGGAAAATCAACCATTGAGAAGTGATTTGCTAAGCTTAAACGAGGCGAAATGAACTCCGACGAAGATGCGCACCGTGGACGCCCCAAAGAGGCGCCTATTAGCGACGAAAATATCAAAAAAGTCCACAAAATAATTTTAGATTACCATAAAGTCAAGTTGATCAAAATATCTGAGACCCTGTAGATATCAAAGGAAAGTGTTAGACATATCGTGAATGAATTTTGGGGTATGAGAATGCTCTAGGCAAAGTGGGTGCCGCACGAGCCCACAATTGACCAAAAACAACAACGAATTGATGATTCTGAGCTGTGTTAGAAGCTGTTTAATCGTAATAAATCTGAATTTATGAGTCGATATATGACAATGGGTGAAACATGGCTCCATAATTTCATACCGGAGACCAATCAATCGTCAGCGAGTGAACTGCACGAGAAGAACCAACTCCAAAGCTTGGAAAGATGCAAAAGTCAGCAGGCAAAGTTATGGCATCAGTATTTTGGAATGCTCATGGTTTAATATTCATTGACTATCTTGAAAAAGGAACAACCAGCAACATCGACTATTGCATAGCGTTTTGGAGCGTTTGAACTACGAAATCGCAGAAAAACGGCCCCATTTGAAGAAGAAGAAAGTGCTGTTTCATCAAGACAATTGCAATATGTCACAAGTCAATGAAAATTATATAAATTGGTCTTTGAATTGCTTCCGCATCCACGGTATTCTCCAGCGGCTCTCTCCACGGTATTCTCCAGTGGTCCCCAGCGGCTTTTTCTTGTTCTGAGACCTCAAGAGAATGCTCGCTGGAAAGAAATTTAGGGCCGATGAAGAAGGAGTCACCGAAACTAAGCCCTATTTTGAGGCTAAAGACAAATGGTACTATAAAAAGGGTATCGAAAAATTATATGACCGCTATAATCGTTGTATTTCCCTTGAAGGAAACTATATTGAATAATAAAATGAAATTTTATCAACAAAAAATTTTTTCTACGTTAGCCTACGAATTTTTCAGCCCACCTGCTACAACACTTGTTTTTGGAAATTTCATGACACGCGTTTTTGGAAAAAAAAATTTTGTTTTATTTCATGTATATGCATTTAAAAATAATTAAAGTATTTTATCTATAAGTGAGCTAAACCGGTATACCGCTCAGACTAATGTAAACAAGCAAATCAATAAACGTGCTCGAAATTCCTGTTAATATTAGTGTAGTACATTAAAATGTTAATATAGAGATATTAGAGAAAGATGGGTGTGAATTTGTGTGCAATGCGTTGTGTCTTTACAAAATGCGTTGTAACGCGTTGCGTAGTAAAAGTTACAACGCATTGCGTTAGAAACGTTACAACAACGTTAGAAAAGTTGCATCGCGTTGCGTTGTAACTTTTACAAAAATGGCCTCGATTGTGATCTTACAGAATTTTTTAAAAGAATCAATATTTTTAAAAAACTATTACGCACCCCTTTTAATCCCTTAATACCTTTTTCTCCCTTTTTTTTATTTGTAGTTATTTGATTTCGCTTAAATATACTTCTCGTGGACATTTCTATCCAAAACGTGCACTAAAATAATAATAAACCAGCAGACGTAATAATCGCAATGTGTAAAGTGACTGCAGCTGTTCTATTTTCATTCATTTATGTCTTTTGTAAGGTACGGATTCAACCGTTTTTGTTGGAGAAATTTTTTTCCCCACACATATACCGCTGCTTTATGTTGCTTGCTATTATTTTCTTTAAGTACATGTTTGGATGTTTAAGAAACCTTTGTGAAAAATCCAACCTTTCATGTGCTTAAAATTGTTCATGTTTGTTTGTTCCAAACACGCCTATTTTAAAATTAAATAACAGCTGAAGAAGTATTGGTAAGTTAGTTGCAATGTCTGTAACTTTATGTATTCATTCTCAATTTAGATGATTCAGAGTGCAATGCTCTGAAAGAATGAGAGAGATTTTTTTTAGTTTAGATTTTTTTTTTAAATTTTATAAAATAAAATGAATGTTTAATTTTATCTTTTTTAAGAAAATATAAATGAAAATATTTTGTGATATAAATATTTGTTTTTAAGAAAATATAATTAATTGTGATTTATACGGCAATAAATAACTCGTGTTAAATGAAACATATATTTTAATACATTTGTGCAAATGGATAAATTGTATGTACGAGAGACAACAACAACAACAAAAAAAACCAGACAAACAATTTTCAGTATAACTTTATTGAAAATAAATAAAGTAGTAAATTGTAACTAATAGTAAGAATAGACTTTTACAAATAAATAAATTTAATTTTTTTCAAAGAGTCCGCATTTTGTGGCAATGCAAAAAGAAGAAAAAAACGAACCAGCCTAGGAAACTTTTGATCTAATAAATCGGGCTTTCACTTACTAGCACTCAAACATAATGTGTTATGTGGGTGACCTCAAATATGCTAATTAATTTGAGGCAGACGATACTTTAAGTTTCGAAATCAAACACAAAAACACAGTTTATCTGAATAATAGTTTTTTTTTTATTTGTTTTTTTAAAGAGTTGGATTTCTGATCCTCAAAAATAGAGGGCTGTCGCAATCTGGGAAATATGGTCCTAATTTTTTAATCAAGAGAATGGTCCCAAATTTGGACCCCTTGATGTTATGTATACTTTTGGCATATTTTGCTATACTTCGAAAACTTTTTAAGCGAATTGAAAAAACTTTTGCACAACAAATATAAATTTATCCAAAGATAATTCCATGCAAAAAATAATCTTTAAAAATTATTTGTTATTTTTTATTATTTTAAAGTATACATGACTATACAGGTAAAAAGGTTTTTACCTGTATAATCATGGTTTAAAATTACACTTGGGAACAAATTTTTTGTCGCATTTATTTTGCCGCTACTAGATCATGCTTAATTCGGGTAGGAGCGGATCTTATGAAAATTGTATTCTGAGAAATCTATTAATGTTGTTACCTATACGAAATCGTTGTGTTCGAAAAACGAAAGAAAGAAAATCAAAAAGTAAGTTAATAAATAAATAAAATTTTCATGAATAAATTATGATGTAACAAATATTTTAACTTTTTACGAAACGAAGACAAATGTTACATGATGCTGTAAACAACTTAACAACTACTTTTATATAGATAACTTTTAAGTTGTTCATTCAATTGGTCAAAAATTATATACGAAATGAAAAAGAATATTGAGGGTGAGAAAAATTACATTGAAAATATATATGTTAATGTTTGGATGTGAATAATGTTTAACATTTTCGCCTATTTGAAATATTACTGTATTTGTTAAACATTGCTTCAGCAATTGTTAAAATTATAAAAAGATCGTATTTAATTTAGAATATAATTAATAAATAGAAATATTTCTAAATCACTTAACCAAGCCAAACAATTTTTATAGTCAGTGTCAAAATCATGGGTGTTGTTGGTGAGGGGACAGTGGGCATATGTCTCAATCAATAATTAGAAATCTCTAAAATTCCCCCTAAAATATTTCGGTCAAGTAAATAAAATTTTCATGAATCGTCATCGATATAAATTATTCAAAGTTATAAACAAGAAGAAAAGAGATAGAAATAATTAATCTTTTTATCAGGATCAAGTATAGCGAGAAATTTTCCTTCGTAGAGGACTTTTTAAACTAACCCGCATTTGCGTTTCACGGAAAGAAAAACCATGAAAACATCCTAAGCTTGACGGCAAGGGGACCCATGATCCATGTATCACTAAGGATATTTTTCGTCAGCACTGTGCTTGGTGGAGAGCCTGGTGCGAAATTCGTATCAACCAGCCATAGCTGGAATTCGAACCCGGTTCACCTCATTAGAAGGCGAATGCTCTATCTTCAGAGCCACCACGACTTAATTAATCTTTTTTCAAATTTTATTTTACCGTCGTTGAACAGCAGACTCAATTTTTGAGTTTACGTCTACCAATGTTCAACTCCGTAGCCTTGTCATTTTGAACCCAATCCAGAGGACAGGGGAACTAATGGATCAAGTATTGGGAAAAATTTGCCTTCATGGAGAATTTTTTGATGGAACTAACCCTCACTTGTGTTACATGGAGAGGAAAACCACGAAAGCCTCTCATGGTTAGCCTAACGGCAAGTTGACTCTACCCCATGATCAGTCTACCACTGAGGATATTTTATGTCAGCACTGTGGCCGGGGAGAGCCGGGTGTGGAATTCGTAGTAATAAGCCATCACTGGGATTCGAACCCGGTTCACTTCATTGGAAAGCGAGCTCTCTATCCACTGAGCCACCAATTAATCTTTTTTTATTTTATTTTATAACCGTCGTTGAACAGCATGCAGACCCAATTTTTTTATGGGTTTACGACTACTAATGCTAAACTCCGTAGCCTTGTAATTTTGAACCCAATCCAGAAAACAACTGAACTCCTGGATCGAGCATTGGGAGAAATTTGCCTTCGTGGAGGACTTTTTTGATGGAGCTAACCCGCATTTGCGTTATATGGAGAGGAAGATCATGAGAACCCACCACGGTTAACCTGACGGCAAGGGGACTCTAATCCATGATCCGTCTACCACTGAGGATACTTCACATNGTCGGTGCAAGCTGGATGCGGAATTCGTATCGACTGGGATTCGAACCCGGTTCGCCTCATTGGAAGACGAACGCTCTATCCCCTGAGCCATCGCGGCTCATTAATCTTTTTCGTAGTTATTGGACAGGTATACGACATTTTTTTTCTTATATGTGAAATTTTATTAAATATTGTGACCATGTGTTTTAATTTCTTCGCCCTGAAAAATTAATCTCTGAAACGGGCATGTTCAGAAATGTTAACTTTTACCCTGCAAACACTTCTAAAAATTTTACGTATGTGTCATAAATTTAAACATAAACATTTGAATAAAATTGGAAAAATAGCTACTGTTTTTTTGTTCGTCTCAGATATTAAAAATTATTATAAGACACTTTTCTAAATAAAATGAATGCACATGATCTCTGATTAAGAAACTAAAGAATTTATTTCATTAGGTTTTCAAAGGAATAAAGCCTCATTATGTGCAGCGAACGCAGCAATGAATCAGAAGAGCCAGGTAAAATGAAGAACTTGCTGTTAACTCTTACAACATGTCCACCCATTCCACCTCTGTCCACGGCATTTGCCTTGCTTCTTCTAGCTGGATTCATATATGGAACTCTAGTTGGTCTTGTGGGAAAGGATGCACTAATAGGAGGACCTGTTTTTGGACTTTATATTCTATTAATCATCTGTTACCTCGGAGGCCAGTTGGTGAGGCTTTTGAAAATTCCAACACTTGTTGGTGAGTGTTTTTAATTATTTATCTCAGATAAAAAAGAAGCTTTATTATTAACATTGCCCAAGTGATAGCATTAAAATAAAACAGTGCTACTATTCAAGACGATAAAGGAACGGTAAGTGTATCCATTCATTACATGTAATTAATCACGTGAAAACATTTAAAGTAAATGGAAAGCTGTGGCCTCTGAAACAGAATACTATGCAGTATGATTGCGCCGCTGTTTTACTAAGATGCTGCATAGTTGTCTCTAGTAGAAAAATTATTACTAATTATTTCAGCAGCAGCTGCTATGGAGGTCATGGTATTTGCTTTAAATAGATATTGGCAGATCTGATATTTAAGTTCATCCTTCTTAAAAGCTTTTACACCATTCGTTTACAGATGTTCAGCCAAGACAGTGTTCTCTAGCAACAGCCCCCATTTGACGAGTAATGTTCGCATGCTTAAATTCTGCTCTAAAAATACTTAATTACTGAAGACTATACTGCTTTCAACATCTTCGAAAGAAATTCAAATTCAGTCAAAATGTTCTCAACTGATTAAATATATGCACCATCTTTACCTTCTCTACTAGGACTTTTCTAGGACGCAGTCAACAAATTTTGATTTATAAACAATCTCAAAAAAGAAGTAGGGAAGTAGTTAAGCTTTTTCCACTATGCATGACGTAGCACGAGGTTTAATTCGCCAAATCTTTGTATTTCACAGATTGACGTAAATACAGTAGCTAACTGTGAAATTTAGATTGTGTTCCGGGTGAAAGAATAAACTAAGTAACTTTAGTATCAAAGAGTATCAGCGAGTACCCTTCGAAACTCTCTCTTTTGACCGCAAATTAAAAGTACTATGAAAAAAATGAGTCTGAGGAATTCGGTTACCTTAGGTGGCAAGCCAAACAGCGAAGCAGATTTACGACTTTTGAGATAGCCCCTAAATAATAAAACTATCCTCAGATACCAGAGGTTCGAAGGACCGGGGCCCATCAGACAAGGGAACCACCAGCCGCCACCCAGGTGCCGTGCGTGCTGTCTCATTGCAGTATTGCATCTATTGATACCCTACGGACCACTGAAGCCCATCGGTCTGGACTTGCTGTAAGGAAATGGGTTAATGACATAATTAATAAAATAATATATGAAACCGGCTTTTTAAGTGAAGTAAGAGAGCATCCTTATAGCTTAGAAATGAGAACTTAATTACAAATACAGCTAAATTTGATAACATTAATTACAGCTATGTTTAATGAAAAATTAACATTTACTACATAAATTAAAAAATAGATTACTAAAGTGGATAACAATTATGATGATATGAACTTAGGCTATGCGTTGAATTTTAATTAAAAGTAGGTTGTGTAAGGAAGAAGTTAAAGCAATTGAGTTAGTTATTAAAGAGGGACGCAGCCTTCCGGGTCCATCAATCTCATAAAAAAGTCGCATCTAAGAAACGTGGAAGCCGGAGAAAACGAAACCTAGTTTCGTTTTTTGCTGTCCCGCAGTTCTTGCGACCGGTTCCATAGAAATGGGCATAACGCCTCCTGGGTAGCATTGCACTTTGTGCAATATTTCACCCAACTCAAACTCGGAGATCTAGCAACTCCGACACGAAAAAATAGGTCGCCAGTGTGTGGTATGCTGTCATTAAAAGTATAAGAAAAAATTTAAAGGTTCTGTGAGATGGCTTGATGCGTCGACAGCTCTATGGAGCTTCAGAAATTGTGAACATAGTAGCACTAGCCTTTCTACGTTGTGCTGCCAGTTGTTCAACACATCCCCATCCCTCTTTTCTGAAAACTGGCCCACCTCGTACAGAAAGACTCAACTTTTGTTGGTTAGCCCTTCTAACTCATACTTGGACATGAGGAATTTATAAATTTCCTCACTTGGAAGTAATTAAGCTTTTTCCCTTATGCATGACGTAGTAAGATTTTTAATACGCCAAATCTTTGTATTTCACACATTTCAGAGAATACAATAACTAAATGTGAAATTTAGATTGCGTTCCGGATGAAAGAATATTCTAAGTAACTTTAGTATCAAACAGTATCAATGAATACCCTTCGAATTTCTCTCTCTCTTGACCGCAAATACTGACCGACTTAAAAGTGCTATGACAAACATGAGTATTTGAGTAGTTTATAGATTTCCCCACTTGGAAGCACGCGGATAAGCTATAAAGGCAACGCATAGTTTTTATTTCATATTGTCAATGTAGAAATTTTAAAACTAGTTTACTTTGTCACCATAAATTCCGTCATTAAAATATCTCTTAGAACCTTTATCTACACAGTTCTTTTATTAAGTGGATTTATTCAAGGGGTTTCAACTTTTGGCCATCGTTGTTAGAGGCACTCGAGTAAGTCAGAATTTATACCGAAGAGTCATTACATTACGACCACCCTGCTAATAACATGTAGGACCACCTTTAACCCTCAAAACTGCTAGCAACCGCCGTGGCATTGATTCCACAAGGTGCTGATAGGTAGTTCGAGGTATCTGGTACCAAGCGCTCACCAACTGGACCTGCAATTCCCTCACATTGCGAGGGGGTAGCGTGGCAGCACGAATTAATTTTTCCAAGTAGGACCACAAATGCTCTATTGGATTAAGATCAGGTGAATTTGGGGGCCAAGACATGACTTGAAAGTCACTGGAATGTTCCTCGAACCAATCTATGACGATTCGACCCTTATGACGTGGTGCATTACCCTGTTGGTAAACACCAACCCCCGCACGAAAAACTGTTGCCATGAATCGGTGAACCTGTTCTGCAACTATGTTCAATTAGCTTACAGACGTCAGAGGTTGTTTTATGAGGATTATGGGTCCTAATGTGCCCCATGAAAACATTGTTCCTGGGCGAGTCCATTGTTATAGATGGAGGGTGGTCATATAATAATGGCTCTTCGGTGTATATACCCCATCATAAAGATCGCAGCATTTCGTTAAAAAGCATTTTTCAAACAAAAGAGATATGATTTCATTGAGCAGTTTGGTTTTATTTATTATTTTACGATTTTGATACAATTTATTTTTGTTAAATTACTAGAAAATATTTTTAATAAAACAACTTATGTTCCAATGTAATGCACCTAATGAGTAAATTTATAATAAGTAAGAGCCCAATATAAATAATAATAATAATGTATTTAAAAATAATAATAAATTTTCGTTTTCAACTTTCTGTATCCATCAGGAATATCTATGCATTTTTTAAAATAATTATTATTTCTTCAAGGCATGATGGTTTTGGGATTTATTTTACGCAATGTTCCACACATAAACGTTGCAGAAGACATACCTGAATCATGGGCAGCAAATATAAGGTAAGAAACACGAGTTCGTAAAAAGTTTAAAAACACAAAATTTATCTTTTGACATATTATAATTTCAAAAACTCGGTTATGTCGTAAATTAATTTTCAACTTACCTACTTATCGAATTGTCTTGAACTGCATGAACATCTGTTGAACAACATTACAGATTTCTTATGCCTTCGAGCCATCAAAATGTCAGAATACGAATAAAGCTAAATGGCATGAGTTAAGCATTAATAATGCCACAATAGACAAACTGTAGTTTCTATCCTTTTATGGGGAACACTCCTTTATGTCGGATCACATAAAGGGAGAAAGAAACTGAGAAATGCTAAAGAAAAATTACAAACAAGTTGCAACAAGAGAAAAAAAGCGATCTAACCAACAGGGGAAAGGAAACACGCTTAATCACGATTATCAAACAAAGGAAGGGATAGAAAGATTTCAATATTTAAATATTACTCAAATAAAATTGAATATTTCTATCGGTTCGTTTAACCTAAAATAAAAAACAATAAAGCCAGTTTGAGGTTCGATTTCATTATATTATAATAGAATATAGGGAATATCTACCATTTGTTTTACAATAATTCAAGAATGGAATTTTCAAACTGTATTCTGAAACAAGTTTCTCAAATTTAATTAATAGTGCCAAAAGTGGCCGATGACTTGAATAAAAAATCAATTAAGGTAAAACGAAAGTTGATGCAGCGGTATGTCTCGCAACGTTTTGCTTAAGGAACAGGGGATTTATTTTTCAGGTTTTAAAATTAGTTATAAATTTCGTCAGAAGATGGCGCTGCTTATCGTGATAAACTATAAAAATGTATTTTTAAAATAACTACTATTTGCAGCAACAACGTCTTGATGGGCAAAATTAACAGATGGTCGTGTAAATATTTTAGTTTGAATGGTCTTACATGCATGGGAAAATAGTTTGATCTAGTTATACAGTTTCATAATTTTTATCCAGTCAGTAGCAGAGCCATCTATTGATAGGATTTGTAAGCAATTTTGAAACTTTGTCAGAGTACTCTGGTCCCTGTTTATCTTTAAGCGATTTTTCATATTGTCAGTCATTTTTGAGACAACTGCTATCTTACAGTCATGACTACTTTATTTTACGTTTTCGATTCATTTGACTATAGCATTTTTGAAGAATTATGTCAGAATAAGCTGACCAATGAGCATTTAGCATTGCATCTGACACTTCGAACATCATAGTTCAAACCTGGATTTAAGAAAGTTACAAGAGGGTTTTAGTTATTTTTACCTCTTTGTCTTCGTTTTATGACTCTCAGCCACCCACTTTGTTTTAGTATAAATAAAATACGAGCGAAAAGGGTTAATATTGACTCGTTAGTTTCTTACTTTTCCGAGTCAAACTTAAACTCGCAATGTAACTGAGCTAATTTAGCATTATATTTACTTCAGCATTTTTTACCTGGAATCCAAAAAGGATTTAAAATTAACATGGGCAAATAATATTTTGTGTATCGTTTATATATTTGTAAAAATTTTTTAAATAACAGTCTGTACTTTCTAACTATCACAAAAACTCCTCGTGACAGAAAGAATGCTACGGAAGCTTTTTTATAATTTTATAACCGTCGTTGAACTGCCGATCCAGTTTTTTTTTTTGGTTTACGACTACAAATGTTCAACTCCGTAGCCTTGTAGCTTTGAACCATTCCAGAAGACAAGGAAACTCCTGGATTAGTACCCCCAAAGGCATGGTTTGTTATAGTAACATAGAGTTTTTTGTGACACGACAGATTTAACGTGAGTCAGTCACCATTTACTACACGGGGAATCTTCGTCCGGCCCAGATCGAACCCACGACCTCTTAGACATGGACCCAGTGCCCTACCAACCAGGCTATCCCAGCCCTGCTATGGAAGCTTGACTAAAACAATTTCTAATGGGTGAGAATTAAATGAAGGACGTAACTCTCTCAGATTAAATCTACAAGAGAAACGAAAATCACAGCCCTTTTCGAAATTACTTTTCTTCGCAACCACAGTTATCGCCACAGCGCGAGACTGGTGTTTGGAGGAGTTCTCGCGATAACCAAATAGTGATTTCCTAGTTTATATTAGCATTAACGTCTATACAGTAAATACACGCCCATTATTTTCTTCATAATTTCAGAAATATTGCTCTCATCTTCATTCTCTTGCGAGCTGGTCTGGAAGTTGACTCGAATATTATAAAGAATAACAAAAGCACATGTTTCAAAATCATTTTCATTCCATTCGTCTTTGAATTCGTCATGGCATCTGTTGCAGGTCACTATTTATTCAATATGCCCTGGCTTTGGAGTTTCCTTTTGGGGTAAGAAAACTGGTTACTGTTTTTATACTGCTTATAAATTCCCACATTTAAGTTAGTTTTTTTTTCATTATTTATTTATTTAATTTTTGTTCTTATAAACAAAGCTAAGTCAATTTAAAATCTCTGAAGATTTTACATTTCAGTGCTATAACCTATAGTTTGAATCCTGAACATGCAAAAAATTAAAAATCATTCTTAAAACTTGAGAGTTGATGATTACCCAAATTTATATTTTTTGAATGATTTCAAAAAAAGAAGTAAAAATAAAGTAATTAGCGAGTGCGTAAGAACGAAATTGTTTTCAAACTCTGACCAATTACTATTGCGGTAGAAAAGGTAAGGCTAAAGAGAAAATAAACAGAAACAAACTCATTTGATGATAAAAACTGGAGAAAGAGAAAGGAAAAAGGCCTTATTTTTCGAGGGCAAATTTAGTGGACAAAGTTTATTGGTGAGGGTTATTTTGCCCAATATATATATATTTTCCGTATTTTTAAAAGAAAATTTTATCCTTTTTTTTCAGTTGTTTGCTATTATTATTTTTTTTAATTATTTTTCTTCCCTCCTCTTTTTCATATGTCTGTAATTTTCCTTTGTTTTATCTTCATTTTGAACTTTTATATATATATATATGTGTGTGGGGGGGGGGCGGCATGAGTGGTCGTCTTAAATAAATAGGCACTGTTTTTAAAACAAAAAAATATATATTGAAGACTTAAATTTACATAAACACGGACGATTAACAATCACACGAATAACAAAAATAATAATAAGTAAGGAACGTCTTTAAAAGTTTTGTATAATCATAACTCCTCTTTGAAGTCCATACGTCTTTTTCGGTTCGTTGTCAACCGCTCTCTCTCTCCGAGAAATCCCTATTGCTTCCTTGTCGTGCACAGGGATCAGCTTATGGCTTACATTGACTGGCGGGACTTCTAGCTTACGGATCAGCTTCCAGCTTACAGCTTTGTCTACAGGACAGGAACTGGCACCACACACACGCACGCACGCACGCACGCACACACACACACACACACACACACACACACACACACATGTATGTCCCATCAAAGTAATAAAATTATTTTTGATGATTTTAATCCCAGCTTTGCTCTATTGCGACCTCATTAATAATTGAACATTATTAAGGGTATATGTTCATACTTTTTCGGTTAAATAGTTATTTGAGAAACAAATGTGCACAGTTTTGGCTTTTTTTTTTCATGAACGAGGAGGTGCTCCCAACTGCTCATTTCCATCGCCAACTTCTACAGATTCTTTACAATTATCAAATATAAAATCTACACGACAAAATCAAACATTTTTATTTCATGAACCTAAATTTGGTTACACGATATCAGGTTCGACTGATGTAAAACTTAAACCTCATCATTTTGTTCTATTATCATAGAAACTTTATACACAGAATTGTTTTTGCTTTTTTTCTTCAAATTCTTATTTAATTTTCTGTTACTATAAAAATTTGTTAAATGTTTTACATGAAAGAGATTACTTAACAATATTGTGGAAAGACGGTTGTTAACATTGCTTTATATTTATTTTATTTCCAATATTTTAACTTAACACATATGTTGAATTAACACAGTTTATGAAAGAAAATATTGTCAAACTATTTTTTTAAAAAAGCAAATATAACTTATTCAACCGTCAGTTTTAGTATTAACCAAGTATCCTAATCATAAAATGTTGAATAATAAAGTTATATGCAACCAGTATAAAATATTATAAAAATACCACGATACCAACCAGTACATAAATATATACTATTTTAGGATCCACCCAAATACCACTCTTATTTTTCAAACTTTAATTTTGAATATAAATCAAAATAAATTACTTTGAAATAAGGGAGAATGATATTATAAAATGATGATATATAAATATTTCAGCTAAATACTCTTAAATAAAAGGTAAACAAATAGTTTACTAGTAAATTTAATCATAACTTTCATTAATTTTAACCTGATGACACCCAAAGAGTTTTGGATCTTTTTTGCATTTCTCATAGGTCATAACGTTTTATATAACCATCGTTGAGCAGCCTACCCAATTTCATGTGTTTGCGACTACTAATGTTCAACTCCGTAGCCTTATAATTTTGAATCCAATCCAGAATACAAGGGAACTCCTGGATCGAGTATTGGGATAAATTTGCCTTCGTGGAGGACTTTTTGATGGAGCTAACGTTACATGGAGAGGAAGACCACGCGAACCTCCCACGGTTAGCCTAACGGCAAGGGGACTCTAACCCATGATCCGTCTACCACTGAGGATATTTCACGTCAGCACTGTGGTCGGTGAAAGCCGGATGCGGAATTCGCATCAACTGGGATTCGAACCCGGTTCGCCGCATTGGAAGGCGAGCGCTCCTTCCCCTGAGCCATCGAGCCTCTCTTAACGTTTCAAGGATTTTGAGTGGTTGCTGCGACATTATTAAAAGATTTTTATTAATGATTAAACTAATGGCGCCATGAAATAACACAGTAGTGTATTTCAAAACTTTTATTCAAATAAGGCAAATCTGAAACTCACTCATTCTTACATCATTCATTCATTCTTACTGTTATCATATCATTCTTACATGTATGTCATGTTATGTTATCATATCATTCTTACATGTATGTCATGTTATGTTATCATATCATTCTTACTGTTCGAATGTATTTCTGTTAAGGTCGATGTTGTCTGCTGTATCTCCGGCTGTTGTTTTGCCAGTTATGCTCAAAATGATGAGAAAAGGATATGGTATGGCAACTGGTATTCCAACTATGGTCATTGCCGTAGCTGGCATTGATGATGTCTTGGCACTCACAGCTTTTGAAGTATTATTAGGAGTAACATTTGCTACAGGTAATGACGAAATGAGGGAAATAACATGTTGTGATGGAAATATTCATAAATCCCCACTTACAGTTTAAACAACAGTAGCATAAAAGAAATACTTTACTCTAGTAAAGATTTCTTTTGTGTGATAATATACTGTTCTCATCAATGATAAATTTTATATCATATTTTGCACAGCTTAATCTAAATTAGTTGACCAAAGAAAATTTTACAATCTTATTCATGTAACAACACGAACGCCGCTCCGTACTTATTATCTAATGGTGACAATTTATCTGAATAAATTCTGTGACATGAAGGTAACAAATTGATCTATAATTTATAATGACAGAGAGTGAGTTCTTTGGGCTGTTAAGAAACAGATACTATATTCGAAAGGAGTATAGGGTATATTTTGTGTTACGTAGACTAAAGCAAAAAACAACGTGGATATAGCATAAATAAAGTACAGAAATGGACACATTATATATTCGGTTCCAGTGTCTAATCACCAAAACCTTTTTTTGTAGTAATTGCTTTTAGTAACATTGCTTTTTGATTTAAACTGTTACTATACTTGTAACAATTCAAAAATTTAATGTCATTTTCCTTGTTATGCTATTAAACAGTTGTTTTGCTTCACACATAGTTTACTTATTCTCTTAATCATAAATACTCCGTATTTTTAGCGGAAATAAGGCTTACGTATATACAGAAAAAAATTTAAAAATGACAGAACCTCTTGTTGCTTTTGTGTTGCATATATCTGAACTCTCAATTCATAATTTTAGACCAAACCGCTACCACTTGGAAGACATTTTTGTAGTTTTATCTTTGTGGCGTAACTACCACTACAGTTATTAAATACCGATTCATTAATATATAAGACATGCTTACTCGATTCTGTCTAGCTGTACCTTTTGATAGATAAAGGTTGACATGGTCAAATCCATTTCCCTACTTTGGTGACCTTCGGCCGTGATATGATCTCACCTACTTCGATGGATGGTTCGTTTTGAACAGTTGACTTGCTATTTGTGACTACACCATTGTCCTCCTCACGCTGTTGCTTCTCAGTCTCAATTACACACAATAGGATCCTGCACACACTCGACTGCTAATAACAACACGGGAGCCATCTGGCACTCAACCGTGAACTTAATACAGCTTGTTGCGACATCAATGGACAGTCAGTTTGTCCGCTAGATTGTCTTGTCCCTGGCAATGTAGCCACTGTGAAGGGTCAGTGTATGAAATGATTTCTGTTACACTGTTACTCACAAATGTTTTCTATCTGTTGGGATAAAATGGCGCTATAGAAGCGAAAACGTAAACAGTTATTTAAACTAACTGTCCATTGATGTCACAACACAGCTCTCATGGTTATCGTTCAAAACCCAGTGAATTTAATAGTGATAATTTTTAGTGAATTTAATAATGAGTGTTGGTGGCTCTCACCACCAACATTCAAAATCTGATGAACTTAATGCAGCTCTTCTGGTCTTTCGCCAAAAACGGAAATGAATCAACCGTTCATTCAATTCTATCCCTGATAAAATTCTGGTGGGGGAGTATTGTGGTGTAACTACTAAAAATATTAAATGCCGATTCACAAGTATATATGTTAATTCGATTTATTTTTGATAGATGAAGGCTGACATTGTCGGCATTCAAGCCCCGACACCTTTTTAGACGAGCACGTGAGAAATCATCGTTGTCGCAGGTTAGGATCCAACCAGTTGTCATTATGCCTATACACGAATTCTCTAATCAATATAAAAATAATACGTACATTTTTTGGTGTTGTTAAGAAGTAGTTGTAAGCACAAACGCCCTAGATTATTAGTCAGTTTGTTATTATAGTAAGTGTGTTAAGAGATAATTTATAATAAAGTAGCCGTCGTAACCAGACGACCAATGTAAACATTGCTTATTTATTTCTAACAGATAATGGTGGTTTAATACTCGTATTGTCAAAACTGTTATATAACAGAAACATTTTTTTGCTAAATTAATATTATATGCAATTATATGTTACAAATATTCTTGGTTAGAATAATTAGTATTCCGTTTACAGGAGCTTTAGTATGGACAGTGGCTCAAGGTCCAGTCGAAATGTTAATTGGCATTGCTTACGGCATAATTGTGGGAATGATACTGTGGATTATTCCGAATTCAGAAGAGGCTAGTATTTTTGAAACGTCCTTTTCTTAACTCACTATAATTTATTTGAAGTATGTAAATATATGTTTTTAATAACTTAATAGTTAAAAGTTCTCAAAAGCAGGATTTATAGTTTTGATTTGATAGTTGTTTGATTTAAAAGGGTGTTTGAGAAGGCATTAGCCATTTTTTTTTCATATGAAACTAATTTTTTTAAGTAAACATTATTACTGTTTTTGCTTCAATTATTAACTTTATTTGCTTTAATTATTGATTTAATTATGAAGCATTAATTTTAATTACGTTAATGATCTAAAATAAAGCAATAATATGATCATTGAATGTGTAAATGTTATATGAACTAAGACGCTTGAAGGAATTTGAAAACTCATTTTCTTTGAATATTATTGATAATACTAAAGATGTACAGTGTGCAGAAAAAATATGGACCACCCAAAATAACTTTTGATCTACTGATCGTATTAAAAAAGGTAGTATGCTAAATATTCGATTTCTCAGGAACAAATTAGACAGATTTCAATCAAATTTTGTATTTTGTCATATAAAATTACTTTCTTTGAAATGGTATAAAAAATTTAAACCTTACAATTCAAAGTTTTTCCAACTAGTATTAAATGAAATAATAAAATATAATAAGTATTTACTAGAAGCTATTTTTGCATAAAATTATCTTTGGATAAACGAATTTTATATTTGTGAGCAAAAAATTGTCAATTCGCTTAAAAAGTTATTAAAAAAATATTAAAAGTGAAATTAACCTTTAGGGGTTCAAACTTTGGACAGCTCTCCTGACCAAACTATTTGAGCCATATTTCCCAGATTACGGCTACCCCTATATTTTGGGAGTGCGAAATTTGAATCCGCCAAAAAAAAAAAGTACGATTATCCAGAGAAAGCAAGTTCTATATCTTATTAACTTACTTAAATTATAGTCTGCACTCATTAATTAGCATAATAGCACATTTGAGATCATCCTCTTGAACCATAAAGATTGAGTCCTAGAATGTGAAGATCAAAAGTTATTCAGGCTGGTTTGTTTACTGCTTTATACCCTTTGTACATCTGGGACAACAAATTCTCTTTTTATTTTGTTTCGTTGTATTCTTTTATTATACTCAATACATCTAAGAGTTCTTTGTTTGCTAGATATTTATTTAAATTAAACGACTTTAATCATTTCTTTTATTTTAATTTTATGTAAACTGTGATAAAGTTACCAACATAATTACCTTATCTTACTCAATCTTGAGTATATTTACACAAAATAGATTAAGTAAGATTATCTTTTACTTTCATTTAAATAAATGAATTCCTTACAAGTTTTTTTTTATTTCCAGCTTTTAACTTGTATTTTTTATTAATAAATATTATTATTACTATTTTGAAGTAAATTATTTATTATTTTAGAAATTCTGTACTTAACTTTAAATTCTACACTCTTCAAATTTTAAAATCTTCCAGTTCACTAAGAAACGGTACAGCAGAGTTTGCCTTTAAAAAAATTCGCCTTTTTTTAAAAATTTGCACGTAATATCTTTAAGCTTCCACACTTCTTTTTAAAATATGCAGGCTGTCTTACCGTATGAAATTCTCTAGACTCTTTATTATAGTTAATTAATTTGCGATATAAATTGGACACACCTTTTAACTGCAGAATGATAGTTGAAAGCGATGTTTCAATAGAAAATCTTTAAGAAAGCGAAAACAAAACTGTTACGATTTAGTAATGAAATTAAGAAAATATTTTTGTTTTGAGAATTTATTCTAAAGAAATTTTGCAAATTTGCTATCAATTACTTCATGTTTTATAAAATGAATGCATTGAAAGAATCGATAGAACGTTAACTATACTAAACTCAGTGGCGCGACAGCCCATAGAGGGCCAAGGCCATCTCAGATTTCTTGACCTTGGGCTCTGGGGTGCAGGGGCAGATATTCCGGTCAGGTGGTCAGCTGAAAGCGAAACCTCCAGTGTTTAGTTCCCAAGCATGCTTGGTACTCATTTATCGACCCACTGAAGGGATGAAAGGCTGACTCAACCTTACCCGGCCCGAGGAACGAACCCAGAACCAATGGCACGGCAGCGCAAAGCGCTACCACTCAGCCACCGGGCGTCAGAGCGTTAACTACCACTACGTAATCCATAACTACTTCTTTTACCAATTGAAAAAAAGAAATTCGGAAGTATTATTACATATTTTATTCCATTTTTAAGTATAAGGAGTAGAAAAATATAATACGTAGGTTTTAACTCTGTTCACTGCCATAGTCATTTAAAAAATATTACGAACTCAAACGAAATATTCACGGATCCGCTTCTAAACTTCCCATCTTTATTTATCATCCACTAACACGGAGTAAAGGTTTATTTCTTTGTTTAGAATTTTATAATAACAGTTGCTTAGGTGATGTTTGAATCAAAAATTTCCTGAGTCATAAAAAGTCAAGTTGAATGTTTGATTTTTCACAGGTAAACGCAAAAGCACACAAACAAAATTACCACATAAAGCACAATATTCTCTTTCACCAAGTAAATGCGACATAAAACGTATAATAATGACAATTACTGCCTAACTTGAGTTTTCTAGGGATATTAATTAATATGTGATCCCGAAACAACTTGGCGTAATCCGAAAATAGGTTAAAACTTGTTCTTAAAGCATTCAATTTCTGTACTTTTTTATTTTTTTAGAACAGCAAATCAATTTTCCGCTTCTTGCTACTTACCCTAGCATCAACATGCATTTTCTTCGGAAGTCAAAAACTGAAAGCTGGAGCTGCTGGTGCCTTAGGATGTATTTGCTTGCCATTTACAGCCGCCATATGTTGGAAACGTAAAGACTGGGATGATCATGATGTAAGTTCTGTTTGAATAATTGAGAGATTTGGCATTTTCACGTAGAATCCCACACGTTCATGTTCTGCGCAAGCTCTGTTGAGAACCAAGATTTGTTAGCAACAGCGCAGAGCAGTACATGCAGGATACTAAGTGAAAGATTTTAGTCTTTCTAATAAGTTCAATCTAGTATCTAGCTTTCTCTTAAACAAAAAATGATGAATTTCAAAATGCGCTAATACCTAATTACGCTTAAGTCATTATATTGATCAAAATTATTTTTGTTGTTGTCTACTAAAAAAATATTTTGCAGTTAACTTATGAATATTTACTTATTCTTATAAAAATTATGTCTTATATTTTGGGGATCAAGAATCTTCTCACTTTGATGCCGATGGGTCACCTGTGTCTTTTTTATATATTTTTCAGACACTTTAATTCGAAACAAAAATATATTTTGGCATTTTTTAATTATAAAAACAGTATAATAGTTACTAAAATAAACTGTTAGATTATCCGAATTATATTTATGCTAAAATATGAAATCCCCCCCCCAAAAAAAAGAAAAAACATTCTTTCTCTTTCATTTACGTTAAAAAATTTATCAATAATTGATTTTTTATATTAAAGAAATTTCAGTGGAGAATAACTATTTCTCTTAGATTTAAATAATTGCAAAAAGGTACAAATGTGAAAAATTATTGTTTGGGAAACGAGTCGAGTTGGGAAGAATTTACCTTTAGAGCTGTATTTCAATACCATAAATTATTAAAATGCTTAATATAATATTTTTCACTTAAATTAATATTGTTTAATACAAAATGAAGAAAAAGTTATGAAAAATATGGCTGAAGAATTTTGCCTCAAAGAGTTATTCAGAGAGTGTACGTTTTCGTGTCTGATTTCGTAACTTAAAATATCGCCTACACAAATTAATTAGCCCATTTATTTGCTCATAGTATACGTAACTTGTTTCGAATCGTTAGTATATAAAATGTGCATACGTTCAAAAAAATAATAATAATATATAGACATCTTGATTATTGATTCTCTCGCCACACAGTTTTTAAATCGGCGATTATTGTAAGTCGCATGACTTACCAATTAATTTTTCTTCATTTTTTAATCTTTTATCTACAACCAAAAAATGTATTTGAATTAGGTCAAAAAACAAGCAGGCTTTTTGTTAACAAAAGTTTTATTTATCATTTATCATTTTATTTATCAAAATGTTTATTTTATTTATCAAAATGTTTATAGTCATTAACCAAACGATAAAATTACGCTGTGTCCTGAATTTGAAAATATTTTCTTTTGTTTTGGATTAATTGGGTATAATATGAAAAAAACACAACTACTTCGATTTAGTAGGAACAACATATGACGCAATGCTAAACGAATGGAATTTAGTTGTTGTTTATTTAGTTATTGTTATTAGTAGTTGTTGCTATTTGTTTTAGTTGTTGTTGTTTATTTAGTTGTATTTAGTTTCAATAACTTTTCTTTATAATGCAATAAAATCTGGCAAGCAGCTATTTAAACGATCGAACACTTCTTTTGTTTATTTGTGGCTTGAAGTTAGGCTCGCAGAAAATGCCGTTCATGGGTTAAATTTAGTAGGAACAACACAACCTGTGACGTAGGCTATATTATACCCAATTATCTTGTTTTGTTGACATAGTACAAGATTACCACTATCTTATTCATCCATTTTTTGAACTTGCGTGCCTCAATCTTAAATGTGATTTTCTAAAATATTATTTTAAGTTTTAATTTCTCTAATTATTTCTTCACTAGAATCCAGTTGGACGAGCTTTAACATTTATTTGGAGAATTATCGAGCCTTTGCTTTTTGGTTTAATTGGATCTGAAATAAGAATTGATTACTTGGAAGCACAAACTGTTGGTAAGATTTTAAACATTTAGTAATTTCGTACGGGTAGCCAAAGATGTGTAAGATCTCGCATTGATCGTGCTGCAACTCCCATGTAGCTCCTACCTTGCACAATTGAATTATCACTTATTTCGAAGTTTATAAAAAAATTTAAATAGTAAAAAATTCAGCAATAACGATTATTTCAATTTGCACTTGGTTGAGTTTTTTGCTGATAAGGACCAGAAGTTGCGGTATCATGAAGTTAATAGAAAGATTACGAATAGTCATCGAAAAGAATAAAAAATATATGGCGGGCTATTTACACTTGGTCGAGTTTTTTGCTGATAAGGACCAGAAGTTTTATGAGTGAGGTATCATGAAGTTAACAGAAAGATTGCGAATAGTCATTGAAAAGAATGAAAAATATATAAAAACGCTAAAGCTCATTTTTTGCAGAGATAAAGCGAGTTTTATTTCACTTTTAAGAAACTGAAACTTCTCTCTTGACAATCTAATCAATTTCGTAATAATAAGGAAGAAGGGTTACAGTGAAATGTATGTTGTTCATTTTGCATTCGTTTTCTATGTTAACTCTTCATTATTAAAAAAGCTTGGAGTAAAAATTAGCGTTGAGCCATGGTATCATGCTAACTTTGATTAAAGTGAGAAAGCTAATCTATCTATATTATATAAAACGCTAATACGTACGTATGTATGTATGTTTCAATAAAACCGATGATATTTCTTTTCTCGCGCTGGCAACAGTTTTCATTTTTAATTGATTGGATTCGGCGCGCAAGAGCACGTAGTGAGCAACCAGATAACAATAACCAGAGTGAGCATTATCAGGTTGTTCAATTCAGATTCATGCACTAAAAACATGACAATATTTAATTTAAACTCAATTAGGAATTAATTAATTAATTGAAGTGAGAATGCTTTAAAAGGCCGCTGTTGAATTGATATTTTTCTACTGGGAGCTACCTAAACGTCTAAAAAACGTTTAAGTGTTTGTATTGAATGCATTGAATTTTTTTATATTTCGCGTTTATTTATGCATTGAATTTTCACGCTTTAAAATGCAGAATATTAGTGAAGCAATATTTGATAATTTATTTTGCTAATATGTTTCTTATTTAGCTAATGTTTTGATTTTTTCACCATGTACAATCTAAATAGCTAATATACTTTTTTAAAAGCCAATAAGAACATTGGTAGAATTCTTCTACATAAGTACAATACTGTGTCTTTGATGATAAAATACTATGTCTTTGATGATAATGTATTATGTCTTTGTGCTAGAACATTGTGTTCATTGGCGAGCGAGCGCAGCGAGCCATGGTTCACGGCGTGAACCACATAGGATTGCGTAGCAATTCTCGGGGGTTGGCGAGCGTTAGCTAACAGGGGGCGGAGCCTCCTAGTGACTCTTTATTTCCAGTAATACGACAGAATATGAACAGAATCTTTTTAAGATATTGCGGGCAACTTTGAACCTAGATTCTAAAACAAATTTGAGCAAGTGCAAAATTCTGGCTCAAGTTTCGAATGTATTTCAATTATCTTATAATGTTAAATGAACTTAACAAATATTTTGTTACGCGCAATAGTAAAAACTTATTCCCTTATTATGGCATGAAATTGTTACTTCTATTGTTACAATAGAATTAAGATTGATTGTTATGGTAATTATTTATTTAAATGTTTATAACTCTATTTTTTTATACTCAACATTAAAGTTACGTCTAGCTGTTATTCATTTATAAAATATGTTTTAATATTTACTACACCACGTTTTCGCATCTCCGAAGAGCAAAAAAAACCAATGAAAGCCCATTAAAATTAGTCTCTTTTATAGGACAAAAATATAAATTTCCTTAATATGAAAAATGTATTTTTACCTTAACCGGTTAAGTGAATGATGTATATATACGTTCACTGATACTTCACGTTCTCATATCGTGTGATATTTCTAACTTTACTTTTTCTTCATCATACAATTTTACAAGATTAACAATTTCAAGTCTAAATTAAGCATTGTTTCAGCCTCTTTAGGTAGGGCTATATATTTTTAATGTGGTAGGGCTATATGTTTTTAATACACCTCTGCTTTTTCAACTAAAACAAACATCATTAAAGTCCCTAAGTGATTTGACGCGATATTAATAATTTAGACTTCTTGAATTCTAAAGCAGAATCATTTTTTTTGCTCTTTTATTATTTTATTTATATAACATTTTATTTTACTGCATTTTAAGGCCGTGCTTTAGCAATATTGTTTGCCGGATTGGGATCTAGAATGATCGGCTCCATGATTGCTGCTTACAATGCTGGTCTTTCTTTTAAAGAACAAATCTTTATTACAGTAGCTGGTATCCCAAAAGCTACAGTTCAGGTAATAAACCGAATTTAGTTTTTTTATTGCATACCTTAGATCACAAAATGTTTAATTCATTTTCAAAAATATTTTTATTCATGCACTTTTAAAAAAAATTCCTGTAATATAAATCTAAGAAATATGATTTAGTCGACCTACAGTAATCGTTACTGAAATAAGAAGTGAATAGTGTAATAGACTGCTACTGTAATTAGATTAAATCTTTATTATAGTAGCTGATATCTCAAAAACTACAGTTCAGTTAATAAAAAAACTTAAGTTTTTTTTACTGAGCACCCAGATTGCAAAGTGTCTCATTCCTGTTTCAGAAATATTTTTGATCTCTCGAAAAATACTTTTATTTGTATGTTTGCAGAAACTTTACCTGATCTTCATCTTAGAAATATGACTTTATTAAGCTATTTCAATAGCTAATGTATTAAGAAGCGAATAGTATAATAGCTGTTGCTAAAAGAACAAATCTTTCTTCCAGAAGCTGTTATTCTATAAGCTACAGTACAGGTAATGAACGCAATTTATGCACACCCCGGTCATAAAATACCTCATTCATGTTTTAGAAATATTTTTGATCTTCTCCAAAAATACTTTCCTTTGCATGTTTTTAAAAGTTATATCTAATTTTCATCACAGAAATATGATTTTATCAAGCCACTTTAATAAATACTGTATTAAGAAGTGAGTAGTGTAATTACCAGCTATTGCAATAAGAACAAATCTTTCTTCTAGCAGCTGTAATTCCATGAGCTACAGTATAGGTAATAAAATGAGGTCATAAAATGCCTCATTCATGCTTCAGAAATATTTGTGATGTTACTCAAGAAAAAAAAACTCTTCTCTTTCCATTTATCTTACTTTTTAAATCAATGCATTCTACACAACGTTTACTCTTTTTTCAAATATGCCTCATTTTCTTTGAAAGAACTGTGGCATAATGATAAGCAACATTTTAAAATTTTTTAAATTTGTGTTTGCTGAAAAACACTAGGATTTTCATGTTGCCAAAAATAATTTCCGTATGAACAATGCACAAAATAAATTAACCACCCTGAATAACTTTTAATCTAATGATCGGATATTCACGTTCTGAGACTCAATCTTAAATGCTCGAGGAGTGACTTTAAATATCTAATTAGTAATTACAAAAGACGTATTAAGTTACGAAATCAGGCACAAAAACGTACTTTCTCTGAATAAAAATATCGTTTCTTTCTTCTTTTTTTTTATTGTTGACGGATTTGGATTTCTGAACCCGTAAATGTAGAGGATAGCCGCAATCTGCGAAATATGTTTCCAATAGTTTGGTCAGGAGTTTTGACCCCTTAATGTTGATTTCACTTTTTGCGTATTTTGCTATCTCTCAAAACCTCTTTAAGCGAATTGAAAAGTTTTTGCTTACAATTGTAAAATTCATTTGTCCAAAAAAAATTCATTGCGAAAAATTACCTTCTTAAATATTTATTATTTTATTAAATAGCATTTTAAAAGAATTTGAATCGTAATGTGTACAATATTTTAAAGAATGTAATTTGTAATGTATAAACATTGATGAAATTCGGTCGAATAGTTCATGAGAAATCAAATTATCGAATTTAAATAAAGTTGCACCACTAAAAATTAGATTGCTCTGGAACTATTCGACCGATGTCACTGAAATTTTGTATTTTGCAGTGTAAAATTCCGTTCTTTACAGCTATATAAGAAATTTCATAATTCCTATTTTTTAACTTTTTTTATAAAAAATTAAAAAATAATAAATATTTAGTAAGAGTTATTTCTTGCTTGACATTTTATTTGGATGAACGAATTTTATAATTTTGTGCAAAAATTTTCCGATTCATGGGAAACGTTCTCAAAATATGGCGAAATACACAAAAAGTAAAATTATTATCAAACTGTCCGAACTCTGAACCATTCTCCTGACCAAACTATTGAACCATATTTACTAGATTGCCAGTACCCCCTATATTTTGAGGGTCGAAAATCTGAAACCATCGTATAAAAGGTATGTTTTTTCAGAGAAAGTGTGTTTTTATATCTGATTTCGTAACTCAAAATATCATCAGCACTAATTAGTTAACATATTGGAGGTCACGCCCGTGACACATTGAGTCCTGGGGCGTGAAGATCATATCATTAGTTCAAAAATTATTCTAAATAATCTTTTTTTTCTTCTTTTTTTTAAATTTTGCATTGTACATACGTCTGACTAAAGATATAAAGTTTTAGAAAAAAATATAAGTTAGAGGATAATGAAACATTTGGATTGACATTGAGTAGAATAGCTTTTTATCTTTTGTGACTAGAATTAATTGCCATCATCTGTTTAAAAAGTTATTAATTAACATATTGATTTTTTGAACTGATCTGCTTCATTGTATACATATTTCCTCGAAAATTAGATCATATTTTTTAAAAAGTTAGAATTATAATTAGATTAATAAGTGCTGTTAAGTGCAATTAAGATTGGTCTTATTTTTCTTCCTGACGTACTAATTGAGAAAATAACGAAAGAAATAATAATAGGTATTTTTTTATGCTTTCCAACACTTAATGTCAATGTTTCTAATGCGCTGTTTACTTTTTTTATTTTGAAGGCTGCTATTGGACCAACTCCTTTGGCAATGACTAAAAAATATCATTTGGGTACTGATATAGAACAGTATGGAATTGAGGTAACTTTCAACTTATTTATGGAATTTTTATGCGTATTTTGGAATTTTTAAGTAACTTCAGGAGTTTTTAATATTCACATAAGAAATTTATATATTTGTGGAGGGGATAAGGTGAAAAGCCAAGCACAGTTATATTCCACACATGGGCATAATTGTCTTTCTGATACGTATTTTGAAAAATCTTAAAAATGTAAGATCACCGGGAAATTTTAAAAAAACAATTAAAGTGCTATTTATAGACTAAGTTCAAATTCATCGGAATAATTTATAGCTGGGCAAAGACAATTAAAAAAGAAAAATTGAGATAATTGCTCTTTTCTCGTGTTTTTATAAACTTAATTATGTGAAAGAAACGTAAAAGATATTCAAGTGCCAGGTAAACATAAAAGTTTGTCACGGGACTAAGAATAAAATATCTTATTATTGCAATTAATATTGTATTGGAAAACTAAGTAGAGTAATTTATAGAAGGGCGAAAAATAGATATTATCTATACGGTACAGCTTTATTTGTCAAAAATGATTATAAAATACTAATAGCACTAGAAATTATCAAAAATTACATAATATTCTAACACATCACTTAATCGATAACTTTGCTTTTAATTATTTTAACTAATTCAACAGCAAGTTATTTTTATGATTAATGAGTAGAAAATAGTTCTATAATTTATAGTTTGTTAGCAAATTGTATATCACACAGAGACAACATTTGAGCCATTCTTTTTTGCCCAAGCCTTTTGGCTTTCAGTACCTTACTTATCAAGATTTTTTCTTTTTTTGGTTAATGGCGGGCACTTGGGTCTATATCCCATTGGCCTCAGATATGCCGGAATTGCAACTCTCTTGTCATTACCCAGTGAGCACCTATGGCTAATCCCCGGCGATGGAGTAGCTTCGCCCTTGCCATGCACTTAGCGGGATTCGAACTCGCAACCATCGGCTCCGCAGTCAGGCACGCTAACCACTCGGCTACCTGATCGGCTACTTATCAAAATATTAGTATTTACGTTTTTCTCCTCATTATTTCTTCCCTCACTCAGCAACCAACTACAAAAGGTAGATGACGTCTAAAGCCATTAAAGTTATTATTCTCATTAAAGTTAGTCAAGGGAGGGAGTAAACTTCAGTTGTAACTTACATTGAACTTCAGATACCTATATAAGACCCAAATCACAACTTTCAAAACAATTTCCATCCTTCCCGTTTTATTTTCACATTCAAGTATTTAGGAATTGGAATATACAGTCGGACCTCTATTTAATGAAGTCGCTAAATTCCGATAATAGGTTTGTTATATGAAAAATTCGTCAAGTAGACAATCATCTTTTGAAATACTTAAACGACACAAAAGAGGTCTCAAATTCATAAACACTAGACTTAATATTAAAATAGCAATGGAAGCACCTTTATATTGTAAAGTAGTATGTACTATTTATTTTATAAATCTTAATCATAAAAGAAATTTGCATGGAAAGCAAGAATAGAGCAAAACATTATTATTTGTTACACAATCATGCTATGTACACTTTCAACTAAAAAAAGCTAAATTTATGCATAAAATTATAGCTGCATTTATTATAAAAGTAATTTAAGCGTACATTACATCATGCTTTCTAAAGTTTAATTACTGCTGATGAAATCCGTTAATATTGTCGTTTGTGTTAGAGTTTTTCGTTTGAAACGCGAACAAAAAAAGAAAGTGACTTTACTGCTTTCTCTGAAAGTTAAGTGGCTCCGAAATTCAATTCAAGGTTATTTCCCCCCATAAAATACATTAACAAGTTTAAAATGTTCTGAAAAGTTTTGGGAAATAGGGAAAGTGGATCTCAAAGAAAAGTTCGTTAAATAGAAAATTCGCTTCTCTATTTGGAAGTTAGTTTACGAAGAAATTTCCAAAATGCTCTTGGTTCCTTGAAAAAATTCGCAAAATGGAAGTTCGTTATATAGAAGTCCGACTGTAATTGCTTTCCTAAAATATTTAAAAATAATCATTCTTAGCAATTGGCTCTTTATGCAACCCTCGTTAAAATTGACCAACGTGTTAATAAATGTTTTTCTTTCTAGATACTAACGATTGCAGTTCTTGCCATTCTCATCACTGCACCCATTGGAGCTATAGCCATATCCTTTTTAGCTCCGAATTTATTAAAAGTGGATTCATCCAACAAACTGAACGAGAAAATAAACCAAGAGAGCACAAGCAATACGAGATACGGTGCCGTCCAGTCAGCAAATATTTCCGAAAATGATAAGCTTTCTATCAATAACGGAGAATTATGTAATGAGGCCCATTTATAACATTTCTTAAATGGCAAATATGAGTGAGTTTTTGTTGTTATTCTACATAATGAAACTGAAACCTCCAATAAGAAGACTAATCTCTTGGTCTTCTTAGTCTATAAGAGTGCAATTTTCCTTTGATGGATAAGCTCAATCTTAAGCTTAAGTTGAATGAATTGAAAATTTCAGTGATAAATATGGATGACTCATTGAGGATCAAGAACTAAGTAACGTGTCTTAGATAATTTTTTCTTTTTCTTTTAGTTTTTATAAATGTTTATTGTTTGTTTGAAATTTTTTAAATAAATTTACCATTTTGTAATGTTTTACGTATAACTATTGTATATACATGTAATAATAACTTCATATGTAATATCGTTGGTTTTAAATGTTTCTTTCAAGAGACGTGATACGAAACGACACACGATTTTTTTTTCTATTTCTGATTGACATATGAATATTCTATTTGTTAATAAACCATTCTATTCACAAATAAAACAATTTCTTTTAGCGCGTAAAATTTTAATTACGTAATTCCTTTTCAACGGGAGGCAGATCACCAAGCAAGGCAGTTCTTTTCCAACAAGTTTAATTATTAATAATTCTCGAACTTATTGGCGTATTTTCTATATTTTTTTTTATTCCGATGTACTTCCTATACTTTTTTCTATATACCTCCGTAATTTCAAGTTTCTAAATCGTATAGATTTTCTACAGAGAAGTAAAATTTAACCTAAAGAAAACAAAAAGTGATGAAATATTAACACTAAAAATTGCAATAACTTTAAAATAAATTGGAATTTTGAAGGAAAAAAAATGTGTTGCATTCGTAAATAAATATGACCCTTCCGACACAACAAATTTCAACCATGAAGTTGGATTCCTATGAACTATAGAGCGGTCTGTATAGTGTTTTTTACCTACAAGTTCAACAGTTAATTATTATTGAACAATTATCGAACGATAATATTTCTTTTATTTCATTGTACTTCCTGCAAATTTTTCTATACATTTTCGAAGTTTTAAGTTTTTAAGTCACATAGTTTTTACACAGCAAAACAAAATGTAAACGTACAATCAAAGCAGTAGCAACGGCAGCCGTTACGATTTTTTTTTACATAGTAAGAAAATTGATTTCTTAAATTAATTCTCTTCGCAATAAATGTAATTGCATACATCTCTTTGCAGTTAACTTTGTCAGTCAAAAGAAAATCAGTTCTATTTTTAGCCATTGCTCCTACTGCTGTCTGATGCATTTACATTAAATTCGTGTACCCATTGCATGGTTGTTGCAAAGTTTAGATTTTATAAAAATACCAATTTTCATTCCCTTTACCAGCATATTTTGAATGAATAAGGTTTAAAATGAAGATGTTGGCAATATTTATAGCTATTCCTAGCTAAGTAGAGATTATTTATTTTTCTTGAGGAATTTGATAGATTCTAAACTTGTCACAATAGCAAAAGGTTGTGGGCTATTGGGAGTCCCTTGCCACTCAGTTGCACAACTCTTTTTAATCATTAAAAATTTATACATTGAAGTTTAATATAAATAAGCTAATTCTTTATCTCAGTATTTAGAGCTCTTTGTTGTTGTTTCATGACTTGCTAAATATTTGTATCTACAATGTTCTTGGCTCGAGGCATTACTATATCTTCTTTATATTATTTGATTAGCAACTTATTTTGAAAGAAATAACAACCACCACTGCCATCCTATATTATGAGACATAACACGATATGTCACAATTATGATTTACGGATGGATGGATTGTGTGTAAATGAGTCCTCCCTGTAAAACGTGATCTGACGCATGTATATTGTCTCCGGATCATTCGTAGGTCTGTTTTTCAGACCGTCGCCAATAGCCCATTGTGCAGCTCTAGGGTGACCTAAATAAAAGTACCGTACTGAATCGAAAAGTGTCATAGTTTTGGTTCAAATTTATTTATACTAAAAGAAGATTTCGTTTTTTTCTACATTTTAAAAATCATAGATTCACTCTTAAATAAAACATTTTTTTACAACATTTAAAGTTTAAGGAGTAACTAGAATCACCCCAAGTACTGTTTTCCAGAATCTTTAAACAAAATTAGGGTTAATGAGTTACAAATATTTTGTTGTAAAGTACTGTATCAAAATGTTTAAAACACGTTCTTCAACTTCACGCACAAAATCTTATGTACTACGAAATTATGCACAATACTGAAAGACACAACAATACAATTGAGTCTCCATTTGTTATTAATTTTGTATTATAAGTTAAACTCCCAGCGGCTTTATGTTATTATGTTAAGCATGTTATCATGCATTAAAACATGTTTTTAGAAGTCCATCCCATAAAAATTAAGATTCAATGTATTCAGTATCATTTGGCGTGAAATAATTGCTCGAATTCAACTCCAGATGGTGCAAAATTACCATAATCAGCAATTTTCTCCGTTAGATATTTTTTTCGGTAGGCGGTAAAACTTATTTTCCCAGAACCTGTAGTTGGTATCTTGGCACCAATAGCAGTATAAATATACAGCTAAATAGCACCAATGCTAAATACCACCAATTCCACACGCATGCTAAACACCACCATGACCATACGCATTGCTTCTGGGTGACAGCCATTGGCGTCGTCAGATAAAATTTATTGGGGGGGACCANATATTGATATATATATATATATTGATAAAAGTAACTTTTTCTTAATGTATGACAAAAACATGACACCTAACAGAAGATAATTATATTTCACAATCAAATCAATATCTTTTACTAATATTCTATATATAATAATGAAAACTGAAACATCTTGATTCAATGATGCAGAGTGTTCCGTAATCTATTTCCTCATATATAATTTTAGAATCATGTTTAAAAATTAAGTTTAAAAAACTATACAAGTTTGAAATAGCAAACTACCATTTAAGAGCGGGAAAAAACGATAAGAAAATCGTAGGAATCACTATTAAGATAAGCGGAATTAAAACTTTAAAACCAGTTTGATTGCCGAATTAAGTTTGAATAGTGTCTTTCAATTCCTCTATGTTTTTTCGGCAACTAAACATACATTTTTGGTCATGTTTTGATTTTCTTATTCTCCTCTAAAATATTAATTTGTGATCCTTTTTTTAACTTCATTTGTGACAAAAATTCTAGAAATTCATCGAAGAATATGTCTTTATGGAACATCATGTATACAATTCTGTGAAAAAATACTTTTAAGTGAGCAGAAAATTACAAATCAAACAAGCGTTATTGAAATACAACATAAAGTACCGCCTGAGTAAAAAACTTTCAGGCTAGTGAAAACATTTAAGAAAATCGAAAAATACAATTTAAATTCCTTTTATTTAATTCTTAAAGTATATTATTAAGAAATAACGCTACAAATGAGGATTGCAATTATGTAAAATTATGTAGAAAAAATTGTTAAGATCAAAACTAGTGTTTTAACCTGAGTAAAAACTCAAAGGCTGCCAGTAATTTTTAGAAATTTGCAAAAAAACACTTCTATTTGCAAATTTGCCATGCATTCTTGCTATGTATTTTTTCGCATTTTTTATTGGGTTTTGGTGCCAAAGGTAAAGAGATTAACAGATCATGAAAAAGAACCGATAGAAGCTTTTTCTTCAATAAATATTCGTATAACATATATAATAAATATCAATTTTTTATATTTTTTTAATATTATTTTTTTGATGTTGACTTCAATTGAAACCCTAATTTTGTGCCGTGCCACTTTTTTCAGATAATTATAAAAAAATTTGTTGCGTTACCTCATAACAATTTCAAAATTAATTATAAAATAATATTTAAATCCCTTTTATTTTTATTTTTCAATTTTTTTTCACTGTCCTTTTAGTTTTTATTCAAATTATAACTATTCAAAAATTAAAATTTTACAAAAATTGAATTTTGTTTAAACATTACGCTAGCACATTAAACTAACGGAAAGTTCTTGGAAAGAGCACCAAATAATAATAAATATTTTTTTAAAATTATTTCAACTTTATTAATTGCTTTGGTACATGCTTGTGCATGCTGATAAACATCGATTTATTGTTTATTTACTTTTCTATTTTCTACCCCGTGCGCTGAACTGGTATTCAGCTAGTATATAAATAGAAAATTTAAACTGGAGTGTTTTTCCGGATGATGCAGATGTAAATGTGCAATGTGAAGGTGTGATTCAAAATGGGAATCAATAGAATAAGCAGTAAATACAATTATTACATTAATATCAATAAAAATTGAGTTGTGGTGAGTCGTAAGTTTGTAATTTACTTCAGGTGAAGAAATATATTTGTTCCTAAAAACTGCCTTGAGAGCTAGGCTTGTTAGTCTAAAATAGCTAAATATTTTTTAAATAAAAATACTATTTATTTCAATTATAGTAGCATACTAAAAATTAAAAAAAGAGCAGAGTTCAGTTAGTCAAATTTTGGCTATATTGGCAGAAACCGTAGAATAGTGTACATTTTGACAAATAAATATTTTATTTATTGATAATTTCTATTTTTACTTTCCATGTTTTGATTAAATAATTATTTCTTCTTTTTCTAATACATTTTTCTTTAAATAGCGTTATTTATAAACAAAATTTCAACAATTTTATTTTTTAGATTTTGAACCTTTCATATTTTTGCATTCTATGTTTGATTACCATATAATGTATGAAATACTGCAAATTTATTCTATGATTAAAAAATGAATTGTATCATAGAAACGACAAAAACTTTGCAAATTGATATTAATTAATAATTAGGTATGCCCTCCCCGTTGTTTTGACGGTGGATGAAAAATAAACACTTGAAGAAAAGGTACCGAAAAAAACATCTCATAAGTAACTATACGAATTTAACAACCAACTCAATGGGCCCATTAAACCACAATTTAAAGTAATAAAGTATTTATTCAAATGAAATTATAAATAGTTTTTAAAAAATTTTAATACATAAGGATTAATTTAAACACTTCATACTATTCAGGAAAATGAATACGGTTCTTAACACCTCCACTACGCATTTTTTTTCTTCAAATTGGAGAATAACACAGGGGACCAAATTTCTTGCTGCATTTATACGAGTGCTTGATCTCACCGAATTCAGAAAAGTGGATTTTAAATCTGAGATTAGTAATGTTAGAAAAGTTACAGATTTTTTTTCCCAAACCGGTATTTTTGGTATTCGCGATCGCAACGCTCGAGTACGCCGTCTAGCGGGAGCCTGTAAATATCAGACATTAATTTATCACGTTTTCATTTCCATCAAATTCATTGACAGAATCAGACGCCATTTTTTAGCAGCAAATAAGAAACAAAATTTCCCTAAGGAAAAGGCTTTTTTTTTTTAAATTGAAAACCAGAATATTAGTAAATCT